TTGAATTGTAAATGTTATAGAAATTTATAGACCAATTCTGGGCTTCAAACATGACAGACACCAGGAAAAAGTCTTTTTGTTTTTTTTCCTTTTTTGGGTCATACCCGGCAATGCTCAGGGGTTACTCCTGGCTTTGCACTCAGGAATTACTCCTGGCAGTGCTCGGGGGACCATATGGGATGCTGGGAATTGAACCTGGGTTGACCGCGTGCAAGGCAAATGCCCTACCTGCTGTGTGCTCCAGCCCCCATTAGGGAAAAGTCTTATGGAGTAGCACAAAGGGTCTCTCTCTCTCTCTCTCTCTCTCTCTCTCTCTCTCTCTCTCTCTCTCTCTCTCTCTCTCTCATGCCAGGGTCCTCAACTACAAGGCTCCCTAGGAGAACTACTGAAACCAACAACTCCAGGCAGGAGAAGGCAAAATTCAGAGGGACAATCAAGACCATGTAGCTCAGGGATGGAGTGATAGCACAGCAGGTAGGGCGCTTGCTTGCCTTGCATGTGACTGACCTGGGTTGATCCTTGGCATCCCATATAGCATTCGAAGCACCACTAGGAGTAATTCCTGAGGGCAGAGCCAGGAGTAAACCTTGGGCATTGCCAGTTGTGGCCCCCAAAGCAAAACCAAACCAACAAACAAAAAGACCCTATAGCTCAGAATTTGTTTTGTTTCAGGGCCATCCCTGGTGGTGCTCAGGGGTCATGCCTGACAGGGTGCTTGCTCCCAGAAGTTCTCAGGGAATCATGTGGTGTCAGGAACCCAACCCGAGCTCCTGATTTTTGAGCCATCTCCCTGGTACAATAACTCAGAATTTTGGAGAATTGGATGAAACTCCTCTGGTCCAAACTTATTTACCATGGCTTTGAAATCAAAGATCTTGACCAAGTCTCCACGTGAAGTCCCCCTGGGCACTGGGTTTTTCCTACCCTTATAGGCATGATTGGTCCTGTTACCCATGTTGTTCAGAATCCTTTTGGGCGACTGAGTGAATTATGACAAATGTTAGTTTGGCAAGGGACTGGAGTGATAGTACAGCAGGTAGGGCGTTTACCCTGCACACGGCCAACCCGGGTTCGATTCCTCCATCCCTCTCAGAGAGCCCGGCAAGCTACTGAAAGTATCCTGCCCACACAGCAGAGCCTGGCAAGCTCCCCATGGCGTATTTGATATGCCAAAAACAGTAACAACAAGTCTCACAATGGAGTCGTTACTGGTGCCCACTCGAGCAAATCTATGAACAACGGGAGGACAGTGCTACAGACAGTCAGTCTGGCAAAGACTTTACAGACCATCCAGTCCCTTCCCTGACGACACATTCCCAGCAGCTCAGGCAGAGCCATTTTGTTTCATAGGTCACATCACCATTGAACTCTGAGGTCAGTTCTTCCCCTAGATGGTAAAAGCCACAAACTTAACCACTCTGGTATGCATCCATTGAGAATCTCCATGCAACGTTCCCTTTCATGCTTTGCTCCCTTTGTAGTTCTCCCATTCAGGGCCGAGAACAGAGAATGCTGAGAATAGAAACATCCTTGCCCCCCTGCGTCCTCACCTGCAGCCCCCAACCTCACTGCCGTGGTCCAAGCCAGCACCATCCATTTGTCTGCCAGGCTGAGAGCTGGGCTCCTCCATCTGTCTGCTGGCTGCTTATCTGGGACACAGGAATTGCAGGGAAGTGGCTTCCATGCGAGAGGAGCCGGGATGTTCCCTGGAAGCCCCCTGCAGCTGAGGTGGCAGCACGGATGTGCCCAGTGTGCCCAGAACCTCACACCCTTACTCGCTATTGGGGTCAGCGCTACTACGGAGCAGGAAGTGGAGAGCAGAGAGGCCAGGGCTGCAGAAAGTGGAGAAAGTTCTCTTCTGCCAGGATGAAGGGCAACGTCAGGACCACTCACCCATGAGGAACACCCTCTTCTAGGACCCTCAAGGCACACAGGCCGCCCATCTCCTGGGCCCCACCTATCAGCCACCCTTCCTCTCCTTTTTAGGAACCAAACCCCTGGTTTGGAGAGCATGGTAGGTTCCCATAGCAATGGGCCTTTTAGCTGTTTCCATGGCAACCAACACCCAGACCATTTAGTTGCTACTCAACTGACAGCTTTAAGTGAAAAGGATTCAGCTTAGAATGGGAGGGCTAGACCAGGGGATTTTCTTCCTAGAAAAAGACACAACCACCCCAAATGACTCAACTCTACTAAAGACTCAGGCAGTTATCTGTGGGGGATCAAAGCCTTTCTACCACAAGTCATACAACACTGTCTCTCTCTCTCTCTCTCTCTCTCTCTCTCTCTCTCTCTCTCTCTCACACACACACACACACACACACACACACACATCTCAATCGGGTCTCCCCTGTTCTGTCTCATTCCCAAAGGGAAGAACATTTGTCCAAAGAGACAATCACATTGACCACATTCTCACACAGAATCCTCTACTGGGACAGTGCTTTTTCTTCCATGAATGAATTGTGAATGGATTGCTGTCTTAGCCTCATTACTGAAGCATGATTTGCTCATCTGGGTTATCTGACATGAAAGGCCAGGCCCAGCTCATCTCCACTTAGCCAGAGTCTCTCCTTTATCAAGTCCCTCACCTGCGTCTGGTCACCTTTCCAAAGTCTGCGAGTGTTTTCAGAGACTCATATTATCTTTCAAGTATAGTTAATCCTTAATCATAATTAAGATCAAAGCATGGAGATCAATCTGTTTCTCTTTCGGAAAATCAACTGAGGGCCAGAGAGCTAGCACAGGGGTTAAGACGAATGCCTCACATGTGGCTGACTCAGGTTCTATTCCTGGCACCACATGGTCTGCCTCAGTAGTTCTGGGTGTGGCCCTTGAGGCTTCCCGAGCACCACAGAGGTGGTGTTTGGGGAAGTTTGGAATCCCCAGCGCCCAGCAGTATTACAACCATGCACTGAACCAGCATGAGGAGGGACCTCAGGGTCTCTTGAGCATCCAGTGGGAAGCCCAGCAGATAAATAACCAACTCAAATTTTAAAACCAAACAGACAAGATTGGCAAGTACTCCACAGTCACTGTTTTCATCAAAGATTTGACTAAATACCAGGATTATACCTCACAGACTCCCAAACCAGGGGTCTGGGGCACGGGGTTCTCTTTATTCTGAGGCCAGGCATGCCCTCCCCTGATTTCTAATGACTGGATGTGGGATTATTTTCTGCCCTGAGAGGAGTTGGAGGTGAGCCTCTGCAGCCTGCTCAGTGGACTAGAAAAGCATGAGACTGTCATTAGAAAGAGCATGACCTTTAGTACATAGCCCAACACACAGTGCTTCCCAATGTTTTGACTCAAGAGGCACCTAGGAGCCGTCTGTACAAAAGACGACCTTTCAGACTAATCCCCCCACAGGAGCATTACCTCGCTCACGGCCGCAGGTTCCACTGAGCACACGGAGGCTGGTAAACAGAAGCTGTGGCATCCCACCGAACAAACTGGCTCGACTGCATCTCTCCCCTTACACGTAAGGCAGAAGTACAAAAGGCAGGGCAGGTAGCTGCCAGCCTCAAAGAAAGCCGGGGACACGAGACAATAGCGAGTCACGGACCCGCAAGAATAGAGCCTCTCGCAGACACCTCAGAGATTCCATGCAGAAGAGAACCTCATTTTCCTGAGGTGGCATATCAGAATGAACCTGTCTTTCCTGCTATTTCTAGATGAGGCATGTCTGCCTGTCCCTCAGACTAACGGCGAACACTGACAGAATGGATACTACATGCCAGAATCACTCCGAATGTTTTGCATGGTGATCTCGATCAATTCCTCACAGCCCTCCTCCCATGGAACCTAAGAGACGAGGAGAGGCTCAAGAATTGAATGATCACACTGCTAGTTCTGAGTTGGTGAAGTCAGGATCCAACTACTGGCAGGGTGAAGGCAGAGCGCAGCTAACCATCCCCTCTGGAATCCACACAAGTCTGACTCGAGTAAGGGAGGCCAGTGGGCTGTCTCATGTGGAAGGGTAACAAAAGATCATGGCTAAGAGGACAGTGCTTGAACGAGTGCGGGAATTAACTAGCGACCAGACTGTTGCTAACTTTTCTCTGATCTATTGCTGTCCCCTGGTGGTTTTCCTGGGAAATTTCACAAGCCAAAGAACGCTGAGGGTTCTAGTGAAATTAGTGGATGAAAGGAATTGAACTTATTTGCTGCCTAAGCACCCCGACATAAGCCAATGACCTTGGGGGGGTGGGGGCGGATCACATGTTACCCAACTTATTTGTGAACCCCTGTGGAAGCGAGTGGTGAAACAATACTATGTGATTCTAAACACAGCAAAATATATGCCTCATCACTATGCTTGTATTTCAGTATTAGGAGACACCAAAGTTTCAGTTAGCCCTTAACTTTCTACTACTTCATACTTCGTTTTTAATCTTGTAGGCTTTTTCTGCAGTGGAAAGTTTCCAAAGATTTCTAGGTTTTGTATAGATTTCAGCTCGTACCTGCATACTCCCACCTTCCCAATACAGTTCCCCTGACCTTTCAGTTATTTTCCAATTAGGTGATTCTTGCTTTGTGTTTTTTTTTTTTTTTCTCCAAGTTTGTTAGGTATATTAGTCTGTGCAAAGCAGTTATTTCAGATTGGCGTAGTCTAACCGGGCACAGGAAAGAAAAGGATATTTCTAGAAATCCTTTTTTTTTTTTGAGGGGGTGGGGGTACATCTATCTGTGTTCTGGCTCTGCACTCAGGGATCCCATCCTGTGGGTCTTGGGGGACCTGACGGAGTGCACGGGACCCAATCCAGGTTTGCCGCATGTAAGACAAGTGCCCTCACTGCTGTACTATTGTCCCAGCCCCTAGAAGGGTCACTTTGTGCTGTCCTACAGGGAGCCTGGCTGTCCACCCTGCATGGTTCTGGAGGACTCAGTCTGCCTGGAAGAAGTAGGGGAGCACAGACTCCAGGTACCCAGAGCAGCCACTAAGACGGCTGCGCTTTTTTTTTTTTTATTTTTAATAAAAGGAAGCAAAACTTTGTTAATCAAATGCTGCGTTTAATGAAACCCCCAAAGACAGAAAAAGGAGAGGAGAGACCATGAGAACCAGTCATCCAAGGAGGAGTTTCTGTCCTGGCACCCATCTCTCCCAGGCGCTGCGGGCGGGCACTGGGGAACAAGGCGCTGCCGGTGAAAGCCCTGGAGCGGGAGCGGAGGAGCCCGGTCTCACTGGTCCCCGGGAGGCACTGCCAGAGGAGCAACTTGCAGATGTTGGATCCCAGCTTTGACGGATGCGGTCTGTGATTCATCTTCCGCTGTGCGGGTCAATAAACCCAGCATCCCTCAGCTGCGTCACTTGGGTCTGTTGTGCTGGACCCTCTTTATTCAGCAAAAAAATACTGAGAGCAATGAAATCAATCCCTCCAGTCTCACTCCTTAACTTTCCCTCAATTTTTCTGTAAAAAATATTCCAAGGGTAATCAACCAACTGAGCTTCTCAGGAAACGGAGTCTTAGATGCTTTTTGGAGGCTGAGCATCAAAGAATAGCAGCCTATCAAGATTCCTTTTATCTTATAGCACTGATTAGGGCATTTATTATTTTTTTTTCTTCTTTTTTTCGGATGGTGCTGGGGACTGAACCCTAGCCCTCACACATGCAAGGCAAGTGCTCTACTGCTGAACTACATCTCATAGGTTCCAACACTGATTTAGTTTAGGTGTGATTTTTTTTCTTCCCTCCCTCCACCTGGGCGCTCTCACTCCCAGATAGGCAGGTTGGCATCGTATGGCTCTAGGAATCAATCTGTACTGGGATTTCCCAGCAGAAAAGACGCTGGCCTTTGTCATCCTGAAGTTCCCACTTCACCACCAGTTTTATCTGGAGCAAAAGAAAAAATGGGAGAAAATGAAATTAGGACCTCGCTTCATCCCAGATTTGGATTAATTTTGAATCCCAGATGTAAGTAGCAAACCGCCTAATATCCTTCACATTTTTCTTCTTTTTTCTCTTCGTTTTAAGTCTGTCCTAGATGTAAGTGGTAACAAACCAACAAAATGCCTAACATTCTCCACACTTTTCTTCTTAAATCTATCCACATAGTGAAGGGAACAGAGGATATAAAGTAAATCAAGTTACTACTTTGGTGTTTTAGCAGTACCACCACATACTAACCTAATTAAATAATCAAATACAAGTTATAAAGCTTTGGGGTGTGTATGTGTGGTGCTGGGAATTAAACCCAAGGCCTCACACATACCAGGCACATGCGCTACTGCTGAGTCCCCTTCCCAGGCTATCTAGTAGTACTTTTTCTCCCTTCTTAGATCAATAACACCTGAATGAAATCTCGCAAAGAGAAATCATTTGATTTCGCATCCAAGCAATTTCTTTTTGTGAAACAGATCCAGTTCTTTCCCATCTCTAACCATGAAGAGCAGCAAGTAAAAGGTAGATTCTTAGAGATAAGGAAACTTATTAGCTAGAAATATCAAACTCCTTGTGGGTCCAAAGTCCACGGCATGTGAATAATGTTAGGAACAAGAACTCTGTGTAGCAATGAGGTTCTTGTTGACTTCCTCAAGCTTTCTGGGACCACAAAGCTAATCAGAGATGTGTGCTGTGACTTTTCACTCGTGACTTTTCAGTCATGCTGAATCACCCCCTCTAACTGTTTCTATTCACCAGCTCTGTACCAGGTCTTACTTGTGAACTTTAGTTGACTTGCTTTATCAGCTGCTGCTTCCCTTCTATACGCCAGTGTTCATAAAGCAACATTTGGGTGAAGGTGATACCCAGTTTCTCAAAACTTGTTTGATAAGTTTTCAAGACTAGTATCCATTAACTTCTGTTTCACCTAGTGTTTAAATTAAAAAGCCGTTTTGCAAATGAACTATAATTCTCTTGGCAAACAATAGCTTACCACAGCTTAAAAGTGCCTGATATGTATCAGGCCTTCACCAGACACTCTACAGAAGTACCCGAGACTCAGAAATGCCCACAACTGCATAGATACTCCACAAATTAATTTATAATCTGTGTTTGACCTTTAGAGTCTCTTAGGCACAGAGATCCTGTGCTAAACAACTCTATTAGCATGTTTTTAAATTACCTGCCATTTTGAAAAACCAGAAATGGTCAGGTTGCTCCTGGGTTCTACTTGATTTCTTCTCAAAGAAACAGAGCTCTTGGGGCTGGAGCGACAGCAGAGCGGGTAGAGCATTTGCCTTGCACACGGCCAATCCCAGCATCCCATATGGTCCCCTGAGCACCACCAGGAGTAATTCCTGAGTGCGGATCCAGGAGTAACCCCTGTGCATCACCAAATGTGACCCAAAAAGCAGCAAATAAATAAATAAATAAATAAATAATTAAAATGGAGCTCTTGTTTTCATGGGGGGAAGAAAAGAATTGAATCCGTTTACTTCCCACGGTTCTTATCAAGACTCCTGTCTTCAATACAAGCCCATTTTAGTAGGCTTTATCTCACAAGTGCTGGTGGAAAGGGCAGCAGGTGTAACAAGTTGGGGCAGTGGGGGCAGCGGGGAGGAAGAACAGCCCAGGTGCTAACAGACTACTGGCCTCCAGTTAACAGACGGTTGGGGAAGCCAGGATCTCCTGAAGACAGCGCTAAAACATGATGACATCTTGAACTATCTGATATTTGGCAAAGATTTTTTTGCCAGCAATCACAAGACTGGGTTTACCCCTAGGCTGTAATCAGAGCAGGTCATGCTGCGGATTATCAGGGGCTCCAATTTCTTTATCTGGGAAATTTGGGTTCACCTCCACCCAGGGTGGCCATGCATACAGACACTTGGGGTACGGTGGGGTGAGGTCTTGAGAAATTCATCCCGAGGCACTGCCACTGCCTGTGAATGTTCGGGATGGGTGCGCACTGGACGGCAGCGTGTGCCTGGTGAATGCATGACGGCCCTGGACTTCTCACTGAACCAGATCACAAGGGGCTTGATTTGTGGCCTGAAACATTGGCCCCAGGCAAGACTGCCAGCCTGTCCTGAAAAACCTAAACCACTGAACACTGGCTTGGCCTCCTTGTGGATGAGAATTCTTTCAGGTATCCATTTGCAGAATAAGGGGTTTCATCCACATGAAGGCTTTGCTTTGGTGAGTAACTTTCCTCCACAATCAGCTGGTCTAGATTTTCCAAAACCTTTCCAGCTGCCTTTGCATCAGCATTTGCAGACTAATGGGCTTTCATATTACAAAATAAATAAAATGATTCCTGACTTGTTTAAAAACAGTGATTTTCAACCTTTTAACACTTACAGCCTGGCACTGAAAAACACTGCCTTAAACTACCCAGGAGCAGCAGTGAAGCTTCAGCCTCAGAGTGAGGTCCAGACTCTTCTCTATTTAAATGCTGTGTCACAACAGAATCCAGAGAGTACATTTCTAATTTAAAAATTCTAGGCTCTGGGGCCAGAGTGATAGCACAGTGAGTAGGGTGCTTGCCTTGCATGTGACAGACGAGGGAACCACGCACCCCATATGGTTCCTCCGCCTGTCAGAAGTAATTCTTGAGCACAGAGCCCTGAGCACTGCCAGATATGACACCCCCCAGCTCCCCAAAAAACAGAGCAAAAAATAAATAATAATCTAGGCTCTTCAGAATTAACTTCTTGATACAAAGTGACCTATTATATTTATAACAGAGAGGGAGGGGGGGAGAGAGAGAGAGAGAGAGAGAGAAAGAGAGAGAGATGCACCTATACACATGTGTGATACTGAGGTGTAAACCAGGGCCTCACACATGCAAGGCAAGTACTCTACCACTGAGCTACTTCCCCAGACTGTTATTATTGTGGTTCTTGGTGCTAGAGTCTATAGCACAAGCAAATAAGACCTCAAACCTTGAGCTGAACTCCTTGAAGGAATACCTGGCTTTGGGACTTTTTCCTCATTTAAGAGGGAGCAGCAGCACTAGTGCTCAACTTCTTTCTAGCCTGACCAGTCTGTAGAGGGGTCAGTTTTGTCCTCCTTGGAGCAGACTTGGGGAATCCTGCCCTGGGTAGCAGCTCAGAGCTGCCCATCTCCAATAGCAGGTCTGAGGGGAAGTCTCTGGCTGACCAGGGACAAGTGTCTCCTTGGGTCTGCTGCTGTTCTGGAGGTGAGGGCGGGCTGGGGCCGCTAACCTCAGAGTGTAGGCAGCGAGGGGCTCTAGCTTTTCTTTCAACAAACCTGCTTCTCTCATGATTACTGTGCTGAGGGATGCGCTTCTGTCTGGTTTCTAACCCCAATAATACAAGCCCTTCTCAAATTTTCGTTAGTCCCCCTGCTTCCAATTCAATGATCCTTTAAATGCTTCCATTGTTTTGTTCTTAGTCAAGATCCAAGCTCAGGTGGAAGAGGACATGCTTGATTTCCCACCTCACTAGCCCTTAATCACTTTGTTTCCACGTCAATCTCTCCCAGGGCCTCTTACAGGCAACAACAGCAGTGGACTGTGTGTGCTTAAGGGAAAGGATGAACAAAACTGCTTGAGATTCAATCAAGCACAAGGGAAAATGATGCTAACAAGAGAGGCAATAAACAAGATGAGTGGGGCTCTAGATGGTAATAGGCAACAGTAAGGTTACTAGGTCAGTGGAGTTTGGGGACTGCAAGGCATGACTGTATTATATATTAAAATGGCATCATTACAGGGGCTGGAGCAATAGCACAGCGGGTAGGGCATTTGCCTTGCACGTGGCCGACCCAGGTTCGATTCCCAGCATCCCATATGGTCCCCCGAGCACCGCCAGGGGTGATTCCTGAGTGCAGAGCCAGGAGTAACCCCTGAGCATTACTAGGTGTGACCCAAAAAGCAAAAAAAAAAAAAAAACAAAACAAAAACATAATTAGGTCCTGGCTAACCATTGGGCTAAGACAAAGAACAAAGGGGTTCGATGAAAATGATCTGTCCTACCCCTCATGGTTTCTAACCCTCCAACCTCCTCCCTTTATAACAGCTTCTCTTCTGCATCAGACAAAGAACTCCTCCCAACTCGGATTCTCTGACGCTCCACCGCCTCCCCCGCCCCGTCCAAATTTTTTAATCACATGGCCTACAAGTGTCCTCAATAGCAGCATGACTCACAGAGGGGTATTCGCTCTTCACCGGCAGTTTGTTAATGTAGCTGTAGGTCCGGCCTTTTTGGATGGGACAGGAGATTCCACTCTTACAACCGTTTGGCTCAGGAATGGGAAAGGGAACTGTCACGCCCAACAGGATACCATGCACCAAAGCTGTGCTATTCTGAGAATTCGTATCTAAGAGATAAAAGAATAGAAAATCAGCAAGTGAAGAAAATAGTGTATTTCCAAATGCTAAATAAATAAAAAAAAATTCAAATATATTCTTAAGCATGGCATGAATATAATAGAAAATCATAAAATCATACCTCTTAAATCCTAGGCTATTTTTCCTTACAATTATGCTTAGTACCTCTGCGAATGCTCAGACAAGAATTCACTTCCATACTTCAAAAAATGACTAAATTGTGCCCCACCCCAAAATTATAATAAAAGAAATCAGTGGGAATTGTTTTCTTTGCTCTTACTGTCTTTCAGTTTCTTAGGAGAATTGGAGCTACCTGGGTAGTAATCACATACCACAAGATAACTGACTTGTGACATAAACTTTCTCTTTCCTATCTACAGTAACTTTAGTTCAAATGTACTGTGATTCATAAGGAGTTATATGGATAAGGGCCTGGACATGCAGCTCAAATCTTCAAGCACATGCCTTGAATGTGCAAAGGTCCTGGGCTCGGTTTCCAGCACCTTCTGCTCCTTCTCACCCAGCTGGTCTCCACAACAATAAAAGTTTTAGTGAACTGATTTCTGGGTTCTAAAACAGCTTGCCCATTCATTCATTCATTCATTCATTCATCATCCTGTTATTCGTCGACTGCCTCAAGTAGGCCCCAGTAACGTCTCTTTCATCCTAGCCCTGAGATTATATTCAAGGCTCTTTAGGAGAATGAGACCCATCATTGTTACTGGTATTTGGCATATTTGGTAGGCCACGGGGAGTTTGCCAGACTCTGCCCTGTGGGCAGGCTACATTCGATAGCCTGCAAGTTTGTCCAAAGTAGGAATGAGATAATAAGATGTCCTAAAAAGATGTCCTGATAAGATGTCACGCGGCCACAAATGCGGCCGCGCAGTTCTGGGAGCTGAATTTTATAGTCTCTGAGTCTTGGCCGTTGATGGGATTACACGGCACCACGGGGCCAGGTGGTGGGTGTGACCCCCGCCTACTGGAATTTGGAGGATCTGGGTGGAGGATGCTCGACTCCAATCCGAGTAGGCTTGCCCATAGGATTTGATTATAAATAAATATGGGTTGGAATACAAAAAGAGGGAAGGAATTAGAAGTTTTCAGATACATTCCAAGGGCAATAACTATAGTGAAAATACTTTTACTCTTGGGGCTAGATATATCTCTAGCAGGCAGGGTTTGTACTGCACATGGTCAACCCAGGTTCAATTCCTGGCATCCCATGTGGACCCTTGAACACCACCAGGAGTAATTTCTGGGGTGCTGAGCAGAAGTAACTCCTGAGTACTGCCAGGTGTGCCGCTCAACCCCCACCAAAAAAAAAGGATGTTAACTTTTTTAAAAGGCACAAATTAGAAGGAAGTACATTTCTTTGTAATCTCTACACGTCATGTAACAAGATCATCAGAAGGAATAAATATAATAAAATGGGGGTAAACAGTGTTATGAATGTTAGGGAATTTTTAAGATGCAGAGTCTTGGTTTTATTATTTATTTATTTTTGGTTGGGGAGACTGAGTTAGTTTCCTTTAAAAGGTAAATTTTTGGTTTGGAACTAAAAACAGTTCTAGTACTTAGAGTCGTCTCTAGGTAAAAAATCAGAGAGGAGGGCTAGAGAGGAAGCACAATGATTAAGGACTGCAGCTGAGCCGGGTTCAAATCCTCCACCCTACACAATGCCTGAAACACTGACAGGAGAGACCCCGAAGGAGAGCCAGGTATAAGTCCCAAACTCCATAAGGTGTGGTCCCCACCCCACTGACTAAAACAAAACCCAAACTGGCTGCAGGAATGAGAAATGCCTTGGAGATTTCTGTATGACTATCTAGTTTCATGGGCTAGGATTCTAGTTCATGAAGGAAGGATTCAAGGTAGATGCCTTTCCTAGAAATAAAGGCATTTATTTCCTAGAAAAAGTTTTTCATTTGTCTAGATTCATGGGGATCAGAAAGTGATGAAGTGGTACAAGGAAAAAACAAGCTTCAATAATAATTCCTCAAGTTGAAGAAGCAAGCTCAGACATCTTTATTTTTTTCTTCAGTCCTCACTGGGCCATGCACCTTTATCTTAATGCAGGATTCAGACTCAATAGCTGGAATTTAATATGTAGCACTGTCCTCCTGTTGTTCATCGATTTGCTCGAGCAAGCACCAGTAATGTCTCCACTGTGAGACTTGTTGTTACTGTTTTTGGCATACTGAATATGCCACGGGGAGCTTGCCAGGCTCTGCCGTGCAGGAGGGATACTCTCGGTAGCTGGAGCGGGCTGGAATTCAATACACTTTTTAAAATAACATTTTGACGACTGGAAAGATAGTCCAGTGATTAAGATTCTTGCCTTGCACTTAGCCAACCTGGGTTTGATCCTTGGCACCCCATATGGTCTGTCGCCTGGGACTTGCCAGAAGTAATCCCTGAACAATGAATCAGGAGCAAACCCCAGCACAGTTAAGTGTGGCCCCACAAAACAGAAACAAACAACAAGGACCAAAAAACCCCAACATTTTGAATGGGTTTCAAAACCTATAGAAATGGGGTCTTTTCTAAAACTCTGTAGTCTATAGCTAGAAGAACTCAAGTTCCTACAAAAACTTTCTGTATGCCACTGGCCAAAACAGGACAGAAAAGCCCTCCTTATCTTCTCTAACCTGTAAGTACATGGAAATCTCCTTGTTGGTTTATAGGGCATCTGGTAACTCCGGTCTCGAGGAAATAGGCATTTGGGGCTCCAGCAAGAGAAAGACACAAGGCACACGGATCTGAGCTTTGCACCCATGGGAGAGGAGGTCACAGAACTCTGGACGGCTGCTCTCTCAACAAGTCCTCAAGCCAACAATCTGCTTTATGTAACATTAGAAGAGCCACTTATACTCACTGCTGGTGAAGGTGGCATTGACACTGTATGACTGTCCTTTGTGCAGTTTGCAGGGCTGGCTCGGACAGGGGTTCACGTTCACTTCCTTGAGAAGTCCAGTCGTAGTGCCTGCGGGAGAGAAGAAATGAATGACCCACGAAGGTGCTGCGCTCGGCTAGTCAGGATACGCCTATTCCCTGGCGCCTTTTCTGGGATGGAGTTAAAAGTCAGAATCTGGATCCACTTACTTGATAAAATCATATCCTTTCAATCAGCTGAAAGGAGGCCAGTTGGTTTCTCCACCAAGAATAAGAAACCTTCTTTATATTAGATGATAGCCGGAGGCTGTCTTCACCAAAGATTAAACCACAACCAACAAAACTCTACAAGCTGCCTTTCAAGATCACCCCTGGTGGTGCTCAGGGGACCAGGTGTAGCTCTGGGATCGAACCAGGGTGGGCTGGGTGCACTGTACTGCATACTGCCGCTCCAGGCCCCAGGACTATTATGGGAATTGGAAAACAGCAAAAACAATTAGACCATCTAGCCTTGGCTTCTGAAATGAGGCTCATTCCAGAAGCCTGATTGCTACCGATTAAGTGGGCTATGAAATGAAAGAGAAACCACTCTCTAGAGGAAAGTGCTAGAATAGATCAAGTTTGTTTCCACCTCTGAAAGAGGAACTACACTGTATCCACTGCACGGCTGGGAATTATTTTCCTGTTATTTATCATGTTTGTTTGAGGGAAGAAAGCTAAGAGGTCTACTCAGGAGTCAAATTATCTTGGCTAGAAAAATAAGCAGTATCTTAATTTCTCAAAAAGCAAGATTATTTTTATTGAAACTTAGTTAAAAAGATGTGTGGCAAGAGAGAGGGAGAAATGTGTGTTCAAGAGAGACACAGGCTTCTGCAGAGTGGAAGTAGGTGAGCAAAGAAGCATAGAGATAAGAAGAGAGATAATTGTTCAAAGGAGACCCAGGTCATGCAGAGCTGCAGTATCTCACAATCTTGACCACGTCATTAGGACACTGATTTCCAAGTTCTTTCCAGAGGCTATGGTCTTCAAAGCTCTATTACAAACTAAGGGCCCAAATCATACTGGACTCAAATCAGGAAGCTTCCCAAAAGAGAGAAGTCCAACTAATTGTATTATAAAGGAGAATACTGCCACCTGATCTAAGTTTCTGTTCCCTGGCAGTCCTTACCTGAAATAGGTCTCTATCCAGGCTGGGAACAACTTACTTGTGAATGCCTCAAAGGCTGGAAAACCAGGGCCAGCCTGGGAAGGCACTCGGTAAAGAAGTAATATTAGTCTGACTTGCCAGTGTTGTTTTAAAGCAGTTTAAAAAAAAATCAATTTATGCAGCTGGAGAGATAGTACAAAGGTAAAGCCACTTACTTGCCTAGCAAGCGGTTATGGCCACAAACGGTTCGATTTCTGGCACCGCAGACATTCCCCAAGGCACCACCTAGACCAGGTCCTGAGCACAAAGCCAGGGATTGTCCCCAAATAAGACAAATGCAAGCTCTAATCAACGATCTATTGGAAATCAGTGGCTTTCAAGGTCCAAATTCTACCTATTCTTTTCAAGGCTGGCTTGTGTTCTTGTAGGAACTGAGTAAAAGGTTGTTCTTATAGCTCCTCCGTCCAGCTTCTGGTTAATAAGAGGTTCTTGGGCTTCTAAAGTCAACAGAACAAACTTCTCAAAAATTAGCAAAAATTGCAAAAGAAAATGAAGAGAGGACTGAGAAATGAGCCACTCTGGAAGGAAAGGGGTAGTAAGTGGATCTCAAAAACCTTTTGATGTGGACACTTGAGTTGTTACATAGTATTTCCCAATTCAAAAGTAAATTGAAAATTTGTAAGTGAAACATTCTTTTCCTTAAGATGTTTTTTCCATATAGGCACACCAGCTCTTTTCAAATGAACAGGACAATTCTAGAATTTATGTTCCTTTGTGTCTCCTTCTTGGGCTGGAGTGATAGCACAGCGGGTAGAGCGTTTGCCCACCCGGGTTCAATTCCTCCGCCTCTCTCAAACAGCCTGGCAAGCTACCGAGAGTACTTCACCTGTGCGACAAAGCCTGGCAAGCTACCCGTCATGTATTCGATATGCAAAAACAGTAACAATTGTGACTGTCCTCCCGTTGTTCATTGATTTTCTCCAGCGAGCCCAGTAACGTCTCCATCATGAGACTTTGTTGTTACTGTGTTTGGCATATCGAATACGTCAATGGCAGCTTGCCAGGCTTTGCCGTATGGGCGAGATACTCTCGGTAGCTTGCCGGGCTCTCCAAAAGAGGTAGAGGAATCGAACCCGGGTCGGCCGTGTTGGCTGTGTGCAAGGCAAACGCCCTACCCGCTGTGCTATCGCTCCAGCCCCAACAGTAACAAGTTTCACAATTTGTTGTGAGATGTTACTGGTGCCTGCTTCAGCAAATCGATGAACAGGAGGACAGTGCTACAGTGCTACTGTGCCTCCTTCTATTCTTCTTCTTCTTTTTTTTAATGTTACCACTGAAATCCAAGGCATCTCATGAATCCCCATTATTTTCCTACTGCTTCCTCACTGTGTGATCTTGGGCCAGTTACTCTATGCACCTGTTTCCTTATCTGTAAAAGACTGTAAAGACGAAATGAATTTGCACAGTTAACAGCGTTTACAGGTGTTGGTTATTAAGTTAAATATAGAGAAAGGCGGTAATCTGAGGTGGTAATAGCACATTTTCTGGTACCACGCTCACAGTTTGGTGGGACAGTGTTAAGTTTCAATAGATCAGCATTTCAAAGTTTTTTCTTTTATGGGACACTCCCAATGGTGCAAAGGGAACCATGCAGTGCTGGAAAAGATCTAGGGCTGCCTATCGAGTTATCTCAGTGGCCCAAAGCCAGCGGATTTCTTCTGCAATCACATCTGTTTCCTAGCCCATTTTAGTTTTGCCTCAAAAATTATTTTCATTGGGGCTGGAGCGATAGCACAGTGGGTAGGGCATTTGCCTTGCACGCAGCCAACATGGCCGACACAGGTTCCATTCCCAGCATCCCATATGGTCCCCCGAGCACCACCAGGAGCAATTCCTGAGTGCATGAGCCAGGAGTAACCCCTGAGCATCGCTGGGTGTGACCCAAAAAGCAAAAAAAAAATTTTTTTTTGATTGGGGGCTGGAACAATAGCACAGTGGATAAGGCATTTGCCTTCCACCTGGCAGACCCGGGTTCAATTCCCAGCATCCCATATGGTCCCCTGAGCACTGCCAGGGGTAATTCCTGAGCACAGAGCCAGGAGTAACCCCTATGCATCGCCGGGTGTGACCCAAAAAGCAAAAAAAAAAAAATTTTTTTTTGATCATACAATGGCACTGTAGCACTGTTCTCCCACTGTTCATCGATTTGCTCAAGTGGGCACCACTAATGTCTCCATTGTGAGACTTGTTACTGTTTTTGGCGTATCCAATACGCCACGGGGAGCTTGCCAGGCTTTGCCGTGTAGGTGGGATACTCTCCGTATCTTGCCGGGCTCTCCAAGAGGGATGGAGGAAGCGAACCTGGGTCGGCTGCACGCAAGGCAGATGCCCTATTCTCACATTTAAAAAATTGTTGGTTTTGGGGCCACACCCGGAGGTGCTCGGGGTTTACTCCTGGTGGAGGCTGGAGGATGAGGGGGTTCATAAGTGGTGATGGGCATTAAAGTGGGGGGGTGCGGAGGGATAGCACAGCGGGTAGGGCGTTTGCCTTCCATGCGGCTGACCCGGGTTTGATCCCCGGAGTCCCATTTCCTTCCTCTCCCAGCCCCAGCACCCCCAGGAGTTAATTCCTGAGTGCAGAGCCAGAAGTAATCACTGAGCATCACCAGGTGTGACCCAAAAAGCAAAACAACAACAACAAAAATCCAACTCTGGTGGGTAGCGCGTATGGCAAGCATCCTACCCACTGTACTATCTCTTCAGCACTCTCCATTTATTTTGCAAACAAATCTTTTTTGTTGTTCAAGTTACAATTACCTGATACTGGACATAAAGTGTCAACTTATTCGGGTACTCCGTGTACTTTTGGTTGTAAGTTGTTTAACATCTTTGGGATCCGATGACTGACTACAAAAGATCCCCACGTTTTCTTTCGGTTTACACTTTTTTACAACATCAGTTTCATCTTTTACTGATGTTTAACCCCGTTCCACTCCAGAAAAGTTCGAGCTCAAACATTGAATTCTGTAGATTTGACTGGACTTGGAACGTCTCTGCCCGGTTCCTTCACCGCTCCCCCGACCCCCTATTTTCTAATAAAGATTTCAAACAAGGGTGGCTGGTGACTGTATGTCAATAAAAGCACGAGTTTAACAGGAGGAAAAACTGATGCAAAATCACCAACAAACCCTCGCCGGAGCCAAACTGATTTGTCTGGGGGGTAAAAAAGGGAAAAGAAAAACAATCCTGGTGGCGAGGGAGCGAGGTCGTGCAAGACACAGGGCTTCAGGGGGTCGGGGGGGAAAAGTGAACCCTCACTCCGCAACCCAGCGCTGCACCTGGCTGTCGGTGCCACAAACTTCAAGAAACTTAGCAAACGCCTCGCTCCCAGGAGCGGCCCCGAGCCCGGTTCCGGGGACAGAGACCAAGTTGGGAGCAGGTTTACCTGGGCCTAGCAAGCTTCTGCCTGGGCCCCACCCATCCGAACCCGAGCCGGGACGGAATCCCAGGCGACTGCGCGACCCGCCCCCATCTCGTCCCGGGATCCCCGCGCGGGGCTTCTGGCGCGCGGGAACCTTGGGCTGGCTGGTCCCGGGCTTACCGCAGTCCTTGAAGTTCACCGGCTCCGCCAGCGCGGAGGTGAAGAGCCCCAGGAGCAGGAACGTAGCGGCCAGGGAACTCATGGCAACGGCGACCGAGACGCAACTCCCCGAGGAAGGAAGATGCAGCCGCCCGGGTCACAAGATATATCCAGCCGGAGAGCCGGGGTGGAGCCCGGTCAGGCGACGAAGCGTCAGCCAGCAGGGCAACAGGCCCGCCCTCGCCCCGCCCCCGAGGACCGGGACGGACTTTTACTGGCCGGGCCCAGGCGCCCACTCTCTCCGCCCCTCGGCTCGGGCCCCCGCCGCTTCGCCGCTTTCAAGTTCCATCTCCGCCCGGCTCGAACCCCCTTTGCTCTCCGCCAGGATTTTTGTGGAACTCTTCCGCCTTGGGAGAATTGTAGCCAATCAAACGCTTTTCTGCCGACACCGCCCAATAGGCGTGTTGGGGGGCGTGGACTCATTGGGGCCCCGCCTCCCCTGACCCAGGCTGAGACGGGATTGGACGGGACGGAGGGGCGCGGGCGGGGGGGGAGGGCGGAGCCCGGGGAGGAAGATGGCGGCCGTGCGCGGACTGTCCGTAACTGCCGCGGCGCTGAGAGCGGTCACTCCCTGGCCCAGGGGCAGGTACCGAGCCTGGGAGGGCGCCCCGGGTGTGTCAGGGTCTAGAACGCCTCCGGGGCCGAGGGGAAAGTGGAGGCTCGCGGCGGGAGGAAGTGAGGTCCGGTGTGCGGCTGTCCAGGCTGGGGTCGTAAGGTCCCACTCGCGGCTGTCCTCTGCTAGGGGGTCAGCAGGTGCTCTTGTGTCCCCGGGCTCAGCCCCCTCCCTTTGTGCTGCAGGCTACTGGCGGTCCCCACGGGGTCACCGGTATGTCGGGCATCGTCGTCCTCCAACCCCGAGGCCGATGAAGGGCAGATCCACCTCACCGAGAGCTGCGTCCAGGTAGGACGCTGGACGTGGGGCTTTGGAGAGCGGGAGCCGGGGGTGGGGGTGGTGGTGGGGGGGGGGGACACACCTCCTGCCTCCTGCACTTTGCTCTCTTTCCCCGGCTACTACTTTTCTCCCACTCCCCCTTGCCCCCCAATCTCTCTTCCTGCATTTCAGAGACTCCTGGAAATCACCCAAGGGTCAGAATTCCTCCGGCTGGAGGTGGAAGGTGGTGGATGCTCCGGATTCCAGTACAAGTTTTCCCTGGACACAGTTGTCAACCCGGACGACAGGCAAGGAGGCAGGGGAGGGGGTGGGGGTGGAGGAGGGGACAAAGCTCTGAAGTTTAAGGGGCCCTCTGGGATTGTTTTTCTATTTGGGGGCTACACCTGGTGGTGCTCGGGGATGACTTCCCAGTTCTGCCCCAGGATTGTGGTGGTGGTGGGGGTATTAGGGTGGGATGGGAGTGGGAAGGAGGTGTTAGGGGAGCAGCGTCAGGGATGGAACCTGGGCCTTCTACATGCAAAGCCTGCGCTGAGCCCCTTGGGCTCTCTCTCTGGCCCTGGCACTTGGCCTGCTGAGGATGCCTTGGCCCCCAAGTGTTCCATTCCAATGCAGTCTCCTTTGGAGCCACCTCCTGAAACTGAGCCCTCTGTGCTCACAGGGCAGCAGAGGGCACAGGGCTGGAGGCTACGGTGTTTACCAGGCTCACTGCTGTGCCTTCCTCCTGTCTTTGCAGGGTGTTCGAACAGGGTGGGGCCAGAGTGGTGGTTGATGCTGATAGCCTGGCCTTCGTCAAAGGCGCCCAGGTGGACTTCAGCCAAGAACTGATCCGAAGCTCCTTCCAAGTGTTGAACAACCCTCAAGCGCAGCAAGGCTGCTCCTGTGGCTCATCCTTCTCTCTCAAACTCTGATGCTGTGACAGGCGGCCGAGGTCGCCCGCACGTTGAACTGAGCTGAGGAACCTGGAGTCAGTAGCGTTCTAGAGGTTGCCTTCCAATCATGTCCCTATCGATTTTTTTCCCCCTTTCAGTCCAGGGGTGTTGTTGCCACTATTCTTTTCAGAATGTGACACTTTTACACTTGACTGTAGTTAAGTATCCGCAATTCTGAGGCAGCTAGATGCTAGTCTCTTTAAGATTCAATAACAGGTTGGAATCCTGTTGAATCTGTAGAACCTTCGTGGTTTTCCGGAATTTGGAGTTTGAATTTCTCTGACCCTCAGAGCTGTTTGTATTTATATCGTGTGTGTGCGTGTGCATAAAAGCAGCTTTTCAAAGAATGACCTTACTGTGTTTTGGATTACCCATAGCCTGGGTAGTTTGGACACTGGTTATTCCTCCTGGAGAAATACCTGGTTGTTACTTGCTTCAAGTTGGTCAAATGAAACATTCCTTTTCATCTCTCTCTTCCTGAATGTGCCCATTGACTGATCCTTTTCTTCCCCTCTGCATCCATTCTCCATTATTTGTTAAAGCATATACATTTTTTTTCTCTTATTTATTTTTTTGCTTTTTGGGTCACATCTGGCGATGCTCAGGGGTTACTCTGGGCCCTGCACTCAGGAATTACTCCTGGCCGTGCTTGGGGGACCATATGGGATGCTGGGAGTTGAACCCGGGTCGGCTGTGTGCAAGGCAAATGCCCTACCCACTGTACTATCGCTTCAGCCCCACAATTTTTCTCTTATACACTTATGAATCTGTTCAGTTGACAAAACCAGTGACACATTACCCAGAAAGCCCCATGGATGCATGAATAATTTGAAAAATGGCCTCCCCCTACTTATATTGACATTTCTGTGATCATATAGGATATGTGATCATATAGGGTATGCACACTCCTGTCATAGTGTACAGTACTTCCTGTTCCATGCATAGCAGAAAGTGATTCCTTGTTGGTGTAGATCACTATTTCCCAAAGAAAGAGAGACTGCCCTGAGGGTGCTGGAATGGTGTGGTGAGGACAGGGGAGCAGTTAGTGGTTCAGGGGCAGCTGCAGAATCCTTTGTAGGCTTAGAAAAGGTACCTTTTCAGGCGGGTACCACTGAGTGATTTTTTTTTTCCTGAAAAGGGCAGTAGTAGATCAAATAAACTTGGGAACCTCAGATCTAAATAATAGATTCTTAGAGAATTTTCTTTTAGGTTGGGTTAAAATGTAGGACAAAAAAAAAAAAGGTAGAAACCTAGATAAAATGTAGGATACCCAGTTAAATCTAAATTTCAGATAAACAAAAAAAATTTGGTGTAAGTATGTCACTAATATTGCATGAGATATACAAAATATATTTATTTAAAGCTCAACTTTAACCAGGACATCCAGTATTTTTATTTATGTCAAGCCTGGTAGCACCACTTTAGGCCACTGAAGAGAACTCTTGGTTTGTCTTGGATCCATACCCAGTAGGGCTTGGGGACTACTCCTGGTTTGATTTTCTGGGGTCATCCTGTGGTGCTCAGGGTACTGTGTGGTGGCAGGGATAGAACCCAAACCTGCCAAATGCAGTGTGGACTCCAGGTCTTGGAACTGTTTCTCCAGCCAGCCAAAACAAAGCTTTGTAAGTCACAGGTTTCAATGAATTTTAAAGTATGTGTTTAGGCACATCACTTAATTAGGCTACACTAATTAGAAATAGTCACACTTTGTGTATTACAGTGCCAGGAGAACCAGAACTATATGGACAAACAATTGAAAATGACAAGGCCACCATAAGATAAATGATCTCTGAATGCTAATGTTAGGAAAAATATCACCAGATTGATTCTCAAAGAATTGTTGGTTAAATCTCTCTCTGCCTAAAACCTTCAAAGTGTGTCTCAACACCAATAACAACAAAAATCCATTTCAGGACTAAAATGTTTAAATGAATTGGAATTAAAATACACCAAAAAAAAAAATGCACCACTAAGAAGAATGGAGGCAGAGGTCAGAGGAAATATCTTAGAATCTTCCTTACAGTCTTAACAAGGGAAAACCTAGGACTTTGAGGTAACAGCTACTTGTGTGTTCAATGTGTATAAAGAGAAAAAGTGGGGGACACTCAGCTCCTGAGCAAACTTGATAGCTTTGCAGTGGTGGCAGCAGGAAGCAGCCACATGGAAGGCTCTGTAGTAACCAAGATGCCTACAACTGTCCAACACACGGGACTAAACTGATTTTCATTCTTGGGCCAGAAAGATAGTACTGTGCATAAGGTGCTTTCCTTTACATGGTCATGGTTGACTCAGTCCAAAGACCCCTGGTATCCCACATGGTCCCTCCGATCACTGTCAGGAGTGATCCCTGAGTGCAGAGCCAGGAGTAATCCTGTAATCCTTGAGCAGCACTAGGTGTCGTCCAAAAGAAAATATTTTTTTTCTCTCTAAAAGGGGATTTTGCTATACAATCATAATCTTAGAACCAATTCTTTTAGAATCTTGGTTGTTGTTTGCTCTCTTGGTTTAAAAACTCAGGCTGAGCAAAATAAATACAACAGCTTTGTGCTTAAATCATTCAAATAGCATTTCCTTCACCTATTCCTTGATTCATTAAATTGTTGTAGGCAAGGGATAGGTTTCCTTGAGTGCCTGTTGACTTAAGTGCCTATTTCCTATGCGTAAGTATTGACTCTTGGTTGGAATTTTATGTTTAGAATGGAGTACATTTGGGAAAAATCGCCTTCTGATTGAGAAAGCTTTATAAGGAAATTTGAATTGGTAAGAAGGTTCTGTTGCAAACGGGTGAAAGTTAAGGCACTGTCATGAGGGAATGATAGCTTCCGGCTATAGCAGGACTTTGGGCAGTTTGCTTGGAATAAACAAGAACAGTAAAATGGGTTAAGGATTTCCTTTGGGCAGTTTGCTTGGAATAAACAAGAACAGTAAAATGGGTTAAGGATTTCCTTAAGACTTTTTTTTGCATAGATTCTTTTACCTAGCAAACCACAAAATCCAGCATTTTTATAAAATTTGCTTACTGCGGATTCATTTAGGGAAACTTTATACTTTTCTAGTGTCAGTTGAAAAAAAAACCTTACCTCCCCACAACTTTCAAGAGGAAGTTATCAAGGTACTACTGGCTGCAGAATTGATTTTTTCTTTTTCTTTTCAGTGAGGTGACACCCAGCAGTGCTCAGGGACTAATCCTGGTGATGTTCAGGAGACTGTTGTACCAGGCATCAAGCCCAGGCCTATGCAAAGCCTGTTGAGTTATCTCTCTGGAATAGTTATTTAACTTTTCTGGGCCAGACCCAACAGTGCTCAGGGTTTACTCTTGGCTTTGAGCTCAGGGACTACTCCTGGCAGGGCTCAGGAAACCCTCCGGGGTCCTGAGGATCCAACTCAGGTCTGCCATATGCAAGGCACTTGCTTTACTCATTGTACTATCTCTCCAACCCCTTGATATATATATTTTTTTGTGATTCATAATACTTCATTGTATATTTTTCATTTCCTAAGACAATAGATCTTAACACACAAAAACAGTAACTGTCTGAGGTGATCAAAGTGTTAACGTAGTACATTTTGTTAGTCATTTCACAATGCTTTCATATATCAAAACTTCATAATGTACATCTTTAAAAATATAATTTTACATGTCAATTGTATCATAAAAATGGCAAAATCGTGACAAATATGTCCGATAATCACCAGTAGCTAATTATGGTAATCCACAAAATAAGATTTCATGCAACCATTGAAAATTACAGTCGCAAAAACCATTTGGTCTTAGAGAGATATCCCATTTTATAATAGTTTAAAAGACTAAAAACCAGCCATAAAATTATAATACTGCTATGAGTACAATTATAAAACAATAATATGTACTAAAACTGTAAGAAAAATACATCTAAATGCTACAAGAACTACGTTAAGGTTGTGAAATTATTTGTTTCCTTTGAGCGAGGTGGGGTCACACATGGCAGTTCTCAGGGGCTACTCCCAGCTCTGTGCTCAGGTCCAGCCCTTTGATATTTAACTCACTGTACTATCTCTCCAACCCCTTGATATTTAACTTTTTAGCCTTCATAGCGAATGCCAACAGCAGCAAGTAACACCTTTGCTTTAGCACCAAAGGTGACCTTTAGCAACCTGACCCTTGGTTGTCTCAAAGAGTTAGTCATAAGGAACGGGGGAAGATGGAGGGAAAACAAAGAATTAACATCCAGATGTCACATTAGTGAAGTGACTGATAGCGCATAGTGCTTTGTAAATTATATGGCCTGCCCACCCTTAGATTCTTTTCCTGGGACCCATGACTGAGCAAGGAATTAGGAAAACAGGTTTACAACAGATTAGGAAGGACTGCTGTCCAGGGTTCTGTGATGACACACTCATCTCTCTAACTTCTGAAAATTGAATCCTGTTCTTTTGGTTGTTCCTGCTCAGTATCCCCTTAAAGGGTCTGCATCCGTGGGCACATCCTGTATGGAGTAGTGGGCAGCGCTGTTTGAGGAGGTGTGGGCCTTCTTTGAACCTTGGCCAAGCTGAGGTCATGCATCCGCCCTAGGCGGGCTCTCACATGGCCTCCCAACACGAGCCTGGTTTCCCGGGTTTGGCTCCAAGGCAGGAAACTCCTCTACCTTCCTAGAATCTTCTTTCTCCACAGAGGTACCTCAAGAATGTTTGCTCTAGGGCTGGAGAGACAGTACAGAGTGTAGGGCACTTGGCTTGCCTGGGGCCAATCCAGTTTCAATTCCCAGCAACCCAGGTGCTGGAACCCCGCCAGGAGTGATCCCGGAGTTGCAGAACCAGGAATAAACCCTGGGCACCACCAGATAATGCCAAAAAACAAAAATAAAATGTAAGATACTGTCAGATAAAGAGCTAAAGGGAAGGACCATCGAAGCAGACTACGGCCAAGCAGCTGTATTTAAAAATATTTTATTTGTTTGAATAGGTAATACATATGGTTCACAATTCAATAAAACACAAAAGGGGATACAAAAAAAGTCCTCATCCTGTACCCATCTTCCCATCCCACTCCCCACAAGCCACCATTGTTTCTAAGATACAATGCCATTGATACGATAGGAGCAAGCATGTACAAGAGTATTCAGCACAACATAACAGCATAAAAAAGACAGAAACCTCCATTAGTAGGGGACTGGTGAAATAAATTACGGTTTATCCATTCAATGGAGTCACATACAGTTGTGAAATAGGACACGACAGCTCTCTGTGTGCAAGTATAAAGTGAAAGAGGAAAGTGCAGGGGAGCATCCGTGATGTGCGAGATGCGCTTCGAATACAAAGATAAATATGCATATGCACAAAATAGCTCGCGAAGGTGAGCTTTGGGATGAGGGAATGTGGAAATTGCATTTAGGAATGCTCAATACCAGCAGGGATATTAGGGCATGGTTAGGAATTCTCTGAAATACAGGGTGTAAAGTGGGGTTGTAAGGATAGAATTTGCAGATACCCAATTCGCATTCCCCTGTTGTTAGACAAGTAGCAGCATGTTGCGTTTTGTTATACAAACTTCCCTTCCTCCTTACTCTATCTTTGATAGCTAGAACTGTTCTTGTGTGTTTTTAGGGCTTCTTAGCAATCATTTCTAATATTTTGCTACTCCAAGTAATGCTATAATAACCATATTGATGTTATTGCGCATGTAGCGAGACTATATCTGAAGGTAAAAATCCTAAAAGTACAATTACTGAATCAAAGAGTAAATGCTCTTGTAATTCTGGAAGACAGTGCTCAATGCATCCTCATCAGAAGTTGATACTCCTGTCAGTATGACAATGCCAGTTTCCCCATGTGCTTTGATACATGCCCTACCACTGAGCCATATCCTCGGCCCCTCAACTAGGATTCTTTAAAAAATGTTTTTAAATTCTTGTCAGTCTGACAGAGTATCTTAATGTGATTTTGACTTGTGCTTTTTTTTTTTTAATTATGAAGAAAGGTCAGAATATGTTCATATGTTTAAGAACTATATAGTTTTTGTCTCAACCAGCATGACCTAGAGCAAATCATTAAGGCTTTATGTGTGCCAGCTTTTCTCATCTCGTTTTATAAGTTGGGAATAAATACAGTAGGTGGGATTACTGGATGCTTAAATGAAACTCATACACAGCACTGAGACTGAGCACAGCGTCTGGCCCACAGCAAGCCTCCAGTAAGTGACTGAGATGACCAGCAGCTGGTGGCAGGTCAGGCCAGAACAGATGAAGTCAGAAAAACGGATTCACCTCCACGTCATCAGTCACAGGGCGCCTTTTTCATTGACATGGCCGTTCCTCAGAGAAATGCCAAGTCACAGGTGACCTTGGCCTGGAAGGGTCACGAGCCCTTTCCCTGGGGATACGTAGCTGGCCACGGGAGTGGCACAACCTCACTGCAAACATTTCGACTCAGCCAACACGTGAAGAAATTTGATTGAAAGTGACATAAACACAAGAACAGAAGTGCTGAGCTGTATGTCCGTTTAGTCCCGGCGGCTCTGAACTGCCCGCTAACCTGGGACAGGGGACAGTTACTTTACGAGGAGAGGAGGACAGAGCCCTTGAGTTCAGATAAGAACACAGGAAATCTGCCTTCCCCTAAACAAGACTGCACTGTGTTTCACAAGCTAGGAAGGAGGGCTTTCCATCAAACTGGTTTGCACAGAGGCAGAGCCCAGGGATATTTGTTTCTGTGAGAAGCATATGTATTTACTGAAGTTCTTAGCCATGGCTTTCCTGTCTGTGACCCTTGCTGCAGTGCACAGGGACCTCCCAGGGCAGATCATAGGTTTAATTTATTTACCCCAACTACTGAGTATTTTGCTTTAGACTTGCACAAAGCCCCAACACGCTCTTACCAAATCCCCCCCACCCCACCCCACCCCGTTCCCCGATTCTTTTCACACCGCCTTCTCTCTGCTTTCTCAGACTCCCTGCAATCTGGAATTCTTTGACAGGAAACATTTACTCCTTTCTGGGCCCACAGAATGGAGATGTAGCAAAATCTGGTCTACACCAAAAACTGGCGGTGATGTGTTCCACCAGCATTTCCTTACTCCATGGATCGGAAGGACCAGCTCAGGGTCGACGTGGCTTCTGACCCACTTGGGGAATCATCAGGATAGTGGTATAGATCATGAAGGAAAAGGGTGTCTGTGATGGGATGCCAAAGGACCTTGCCACCTTTGTGCAGCTTGAGTGGGTAGATGGGACCATCCCTTTGTACACATCCCATGCCAAAGCCAGGGCAGACGGAGGGCTGGGCCTTGTGGTCAGTGGCGGAAGCATTAAAGCATTTATTTGGTGGTATTGGAGCCAAGCAAAGGCATGCAGCATGGAGGTGGTGACAAGCTCATCACCAGAGCCCGAGCCGGGGGCCACGAGACCCGAAGAGAGTCGGCTGCACAGCCGCCTGCCCAGTGTCCACAGGGGTCTTCTTGACCCGGAAAGCTCCCTCCAGGCCCTTCCCTGGGGCATGGGCCCCAGTTCCAGATTGCTGCCCACACGGAACCCCCGCTGCTACTCCTCAGCAATGCAGTGTGGGGGACCTGCCGCGGCCACGAAACCCGGGGCACAGTGGCAGCGGTAGGAGCCCTCGGTGTTCTCACAGTGGCCGTGGGCGCAGAGCACGGCAGGCCCGTTCAAGTCTTCGCACTCGTTGACATCTAAGAGAGAGGACGGATTTGGGAGCTGGAGAGGGAGCCTGAGTATGTCTGCTCTCCCTCTGCTCCCGAAGCCCCGGCCCCCGCCCTATGGTGGAAGCCTCTGGGCACCTCCAGAGACCAAAGCTGTCGCCCAAACTAAGCAACTCAAGGGCCCAAGCAGAAGGTGATTATCCCAGCCGGTGCCTGGGAAACAGTGGTCTCTCTCCTCTGCCTTTCTGTCTCGGAACCTCCTTAGATCTGGCTTTCTATTTTTTTTAATTAATTAATTTTTTAAATTTTATTTTTATAAAGCTGCTCACAATGATTTATTAGATTCAATATTCCAACACCAGTCCCACCACCATTACTGCTCCCCACCACCATTATTTAAAAATTTTTCACCACTGGGGCAGATCCTAAATAATTTCTTTTGTATTGCTTGTTATGAATGATCTGCTAAAGAGGTTTTTCATTAGAAGAAAGTGTGTGAAGATGTATGTTTCTTCACCTTGGAGAACTGGATTTCTCTCTCTCTTTCTCTCGTTTTTTTGTTTGCTGTTTTTCCTTTTGGGGGGTTACTTCTGGCTCTGCACTCAGGAATTACTCCTGACAGTGCTCAGGGACCACATGGGATGCCAGGGATTAGAACTCAGGTCGGCCACGTGCAAGGCAAACACCCTACCTGCTTGGGATAATGGTATAGATTATGGTTTAGGTTTGAGAACTGGATGTCTAAACCAGATCTCTGACCGCACCCAGGCCGCCTCCTCGCAGCCCCACTAGGGGGCAGCAGTGGATTACACTATCTTAACGCCAGCTGTTCATCCCTGGTGAGCCATGGGCACGGGCTGCCTTTTCCAGCCTGCTCCCGGGCACTGCCCCTGGGTCCAGCCTTACCCACGCAGGCCAGCTGGGCCATGTCCAGCTGGAAGCCCTCGAAGCAGTCGCAGGTGTAGCCCTCCTGCACGCGCACGCAGCGGCCGTTCTCGCAGCCGTTCAGCACCCCGCACTCCTCTGCCTGCAGCCCTTCAAAGCCGGCCTGGTACTCTGGGTGGCGGGGAGGGGTGGTGGTCAGAGAGAAGGACGCTGGGGCCTGTTGCTCGGTGCCCAGCGCTCTCACAGGCACGAGAACAAAGGGTACTGCTCTGAGGGGCGTGTCCCTGGGGAGAGGTGCTAGGTGGGAGGCCTGGGAGGGTCGGGCTCCAGAGCCCTCACCATGACCCCTGAGTTTTCCAGAGCAGTGTCTGTGCAGGCCCTGGCTTACTGTGGTGGTTAGTGGTAGGATACTTTGTAAATATGTTGCAAGAGGGGGGTGGGTGGCAGGGGGTTGGCAGTAACAGAGGATAATATTCGCAGCCAACACAAACCAAAGCTTCCACCAGAACCATCTTCTTTAAGCAAACTGCCCTAGAATAAGCACCAAATTGGGTGGTATGGGGGGTACCCGGTCAGAGAGACCTCATTAGGTCTCATTGGCACTGTCGACAGTGCATTCCACCGGTGGCCCACACTTGCATGCAGTTTGATGAACACAAGTTACAGCGCCGGCATCAGTGTGTTAGTGTCCAGGACCTGAGACATGAGCTAAGCCTGGGCTTCGCATGCTGAAGGCCAGGCTTCGATTCCTAAGCCACCGGGAGTGACCCAAAAATCAAAAGTAAAATCTAAGGCCTGAGTGCTGGGGTTATTGGTGACCCAAGTCACCAAGGAGTGGTGGGGTGGGACTTCACAGTGACCAGCAGCCCTCAGCTCCCGTCTCGGTGGCCAGCCTGAACTTGGACGGGAGATTATCCTGTAAGTGTGACTGACTGGTGTGGAGGGATGTGTGCCCACTTCCTGAGCCCACAGGGACGCTTTGGGGCGGCACCAGTGCCTCATAGTACCCTTTACCCTGACCTCACGCCACATCTGGGCATTTGGAGCTGTCCCTTGAGTGACCTGTAAGAGGCCTCAGTAGTACCTCTCTCCCCTCCCAGCTGTCCCTCTGTTGTAGGACACACCGACCTGGCTGGCTGGCCACGTAGCGGGGCTGGAGTTCTGAGGGGGGCAGGGGTGGCTCGAGGACAGCTACACGGTCCCCGGGGTGGCCGGCTGGGTCGGAGAAGGGCGGCTCGGGGACAACATCCTCAGGACCCAGGTAGTTGTAGAAGGGGGCCCCATCTGGGCCGTAGAGGCTGTAGTGCAGGTCGTCGGGTCCGGGGCCGTACTCGTAACCCGGCCGGAAGTGCACGCCAGCCTCCCGCTCTGCCTCGATCCGGGCCACGTTGCACAGCTGGGCGTAGACCTCTATTGGGGGGTAGAGGGAGAGGACGCTGCCCCACTCTGGCGGCCCCGAGGGCAAGGGGTGCGGGGGACTGGCTCTCACAGCTCCAGGCAGTGCTGCCCTCCCCATCCCCACCTCCCCCGCTGCCCCCCAGGCCTGGCCCCCGCTCTGCTCCTGCAGGTGCCCCTCCCCCTCTCACCAGAGTTCCTCGGGGGGCACAGAGCACACTGCTGGGTCCAGGCCTCGCCATCCTGGCAGCAGCATTCCGTGTAGGTGGTGCGGCGTCCATGCAGGGGCTGGCTGCACACGTAGTCGGTGACTTTCTTCCAGCAGATGTCCATGTGGATGTCATGGTCAGGCAGGTCCTCTGGAGGCCCAGGGCGCAGAGACCGTGAGGGCCCAGCCCCCGCGTCTTGGTGGTCCCTGCTGCCCACCCGGCCCCTGGACCCCGGCTGAGGCCCGACCTGACTCACCTGGGTCGCCAGTGCCGTTCACGCAGCGCCGCCGGCTGAGGTCCAGGGTGAGCGGCGGGCTGCAGAAGCAGTGGAAGGAGCCGTCGGTGTTCACGCACTCGCCGTTCTCGCAGGCCGTGTCCTGGCACTCATCGTGATCTGGGATGACAGAAAGACAGGAGACATGGAGGGGGGGATAGGGTGTGGGTGGGCAGCATCCTGGTACAGCCAGCTCAGTCTGGCAGCCCTGGACAGCTGCTCCCCTCCTGCCTGCTCTGCGGACGGACGGGGCTGGGCGGGTGGCGTCTCACCCTCGCACTGCCCATGGGCGGCGTTGTAGTGGTAGCCGGGATGGCACAGGCAGATGTAGCCGGGCACCGTGTTGAGGCACTGGCCGTTCTGGCAGAGGCCAGGCCCAAACATCATGCACTCGTCCGCATCTGTGGGAGCAGTAGGAGACAGGACTGAGGAGGGGGCCACACATGAGAACCACCATGCCTAAACCCGGGTCCTGCAGGCAGGGGACTGCAGGCAAGCTGCTTGGGGTCCTCTGGCCTCAGTTTCCTACCTAAAAGAGGTGAGTCCCAGGGCCGGAGAGAGAGGGGAAAGCACATAGGGCACTTGCCCTGTACACAGCCAGCCCCAGTTTTGTTTTTTTTTTTAATTTTTATTAGTGAAACACCATGAGGTACAGTTGTAGACTTACAAATTTTTTTGCTTGGGTTTCAGTTATACAATGATCAAGTACACATCCCTCCATCAGTGCCCATTCTCCACCACCACTAATCCCAGTATCCCTCCCACCCCCATCCCCCCATCCCACCCTGCCTCTGTGGCAGGGCATTCCCTTTTGTTCTCTCTCCTTTTGGGTGCTGTGGTTTGCAAAAGAGGCATTGAGTGGCAATCATGTTCGATCTATAGTCTACTTTCAGCATGCTTCTCCCATCCTGGGAGGATCCTCCCAACATCCTTTATTTGGTGCTCCCTTCTCTATCTGAGCTGCCTTTCCACCTAGCATGTGTGGGCCAGCCCCAGTTCGATGCCCAGGATCCCATATGCCCTGACCAAGTCCCGCCAGGAGTGAGCCCTGAGCACTGCCAGGTATGGCCCAAACCCTCCCCCCTCCACACACAAATGTGGGTACCACTTCTGATCCGCTTCTGACAGGGAGGAAGGATGGTTCTATCGTGAGTGTTTCCAGGGGGCCAGACCCTGTAGGCACTCCAGGCCAGCTGGGCTCTTTCTAGGCCTTTCTCTCTCCAGCCTTAGGGCCAGACTGCTGAGCCCCCCACCCCCACCCCCCAAATCCCCAACTCTGGAGACTCAGACTTTGTGAGACCAGAGGGATGAGCCTCTGGGTGCCAGAGCTCTCTGTTCCGTCCCTGTGCTCCGCATCCTGATTAGTCAAAGCCTTCGAGTGCGTAGAGAAGCTGGGGGGTGGAGGTGGGATACTGACTCTTAGGGGGGAACGAAGTCAGAACTTCCCCACGCTGGGCCAGCAGGAGGGAATGGGGGCTCGGCTTACCTGTGTAAGTGGTCTGCCCGAACATCCAGGCGCCCTCCACGGGGATGTAGCCCTTCCCGCTCGGGCAGATCTCGCTGAATTCCACTGCACGGGGAGGCAGAGGCTGAGCCGGGGACAGGGATGCTCCACCCCACCCCTTCCTTGCCTGCCCCCCTCCCTACCCCCCACTTGGAGCTGTGAGGATTGGGAAAACCTGAGCCTTACCTGAGTCCTCGGTGGGGCAGGGGGCACAGGTGTCCCCCCAGCTGGCGCCCTGGGTACAGCAGCACTCGGCCCGCGTGGTGTTCCGGCCCAGGAGGCGGGAGCAGGGCTGGCCTTCCGTCCCCGAGTAGCACTCTGCGTGGCGGGGACCCGGGGGGTGCTCCCCTGTGGGGGCCTCAGGGACACTCTGACCTGGGTGACAGGGGCCCCTTCTCAGTGTCCTTTCTCAGTGGCTCTCAGAGGCCTCCTCGCCGTGGAAAGGCTTTCAGGCTTGAGCACAGGCGCGGGACTGTTCATTCCCACGGTGATGGCCGCTGTGCCCCCCCCCATCCCCCCGGACCACCCTGCCCTCCTCCCTGGGTTCCCCAGCTGGAGCCCTGGGTACAGCTTGGTGGTGCCCAGCCTCCTCCTCCACCCATGTCAGCCACCAGCCAAGGGGTGAGGAGGGCTGGGGTGTTGGGGAGCAGGATGGGTGGGATGGGGGGTGGCTCAATCTGAGCTCCCCTGGGGCCGCCCTCAGTGGGTGGGGGCTTTGAACCCAGAGACTCATCCCAGCCGGCTACCCCCCTCCCCAACCTCCACCCCAGGACCCTCATTCCCACCTGGAACCGATCTCTGATCTCCTCAGGGCTCTCAGACTCACAACCGCACATGCGCCCTCCCTCCCCCATAAGCAATAGGCCGGTCCTGCCCGGCAGGGTGGGCTAGAGGGGCTCACCTCCAGCACCCCGTGGGCGGCAGCGCCCTTCCTGAGCGTCGTACTCCTCCAGATCACTGGCACAGAGGCACAGGAAGGAGCCCTCCACATTCTCGCAGAGTGCCGCCCCGCACACGGCCAGCATGAGCTCACACTCGTTCACGTCTGTGGCCGGGAGGATGGGCTGGTGGTTAGGGGAAGCCCTGGGGCCCCTCCCCACCCCTGCCCAGAGAAGCAGGTGCAGCCCAGCAGGAGCTGAAGGGGGGGTCTGAGTTAGCTCACGGGGCAGGGGGAGGAAGAGGAGGGTGAAGCCCCCCGACAGACCCCGAGGAAAGGATGTTCCTGTCAAGTGTGTCCCGGCTCTAGAAACCTTGAGGACTACCCCCCAACACCACCCCCCCCCCCCCACACACACAGCCTGGCCAAGGTGCCAATCACAGGTAGGTATGAGCTATGAGCTCGCCCTGCCTCGCCCGCTCTCTAGGGCCTACTGTGCAGACAGGAGCCCCAGCCCTGGCCACTCTGCACGGTAACCCCGGGCTGTACCCTGGCACCAGGGGGCGGTGGGGGTGGGGGGTGGGGCCTACGAGCTTCTCACCCACGCAGTCCCAGCCCGAGGCGGAGTTCTCGAAGCCCTGGTCGCAGAGGCAGCGGAAGGAGCCGTCGGTGTTGTCGCAGAAGCCGTGACTGCCACACATGGTGTCGTTGGCACACTCGTCGATGTCTGGGGGCGGCGGGGAGAGCTTGGTCAGTTTGCTGGGAATGTTTGCCTGTTTATCGGGTCTATGAACCCTCCAACCCCCACCCCCACCCCAGTTTGGCGAAAAGTAACTGGTAAACAGTGGCCAAAAAAAAAAAATTCCTCTGGAGGAAAGTACCTGGCCGGACCCTAGGAATCAGCCACTCCCCGTGCCCTCGCTGCCCACTCACCAATGCATTCGCCCGTTGGTGCCAGGTGGAAACCAGGCTGGCAGCCCCGCACGCAGCGGAAGGAGCCGAGGCTGTTCTCGCACCGCCAGGCCCCACACACTGGACGGCTGTAGTCCTCACACTCATTGATGTCTGTCCCCAGGGCCAGCAGAAGGGGACAGGAGTGTCAGGCTTCTGTCTCACCTCGCTGGCCCCTCCCATCCCAGACAAGCTCTGGTTTCCTCCATCTGTTCTGAATTCCTTGTCTCAGGTCAGTCCCAAAACATCCGGTTCCAAGTCTGCCCTCCCCACGGAGCATCTAGGAGGGGAGCTCTGAGTCTTTTTGGTCCCCTGACCCCCATGCCACCTCCAGTAGAGCTCTGCAGTCACTCCATCAGAGGGGACCCTTGGCAGGTGTGTTCCAGAGAGCGGTTCTCACCTCACCTCACCTCACCTCACCCCACCTCTGTCTCACGGCTCAATTTTGGGTCTCACCCGGCAATGCAACGGGTTATTCCTGGCTCTGCACTCAGGAGTTACTCCTGGCGGTGCTCAGGGGACCATATGGGATGCTGGGAATTGAACCCAGGTTGGCCGCGTGCAAGGCAAATGCCCTACCCACTGTGCTATCTCTCCAGCCCCTCACGGCTCAATTTTAAGGTGGCCCCTAACTACTTCTCCCAGAGGAGGCTGGCGGGTACTTAAGAAAGCGCCACTGGACCAACATGGCTCTAAAACACTGTCTGCTCTGTTAGCATGAGGGGCTCTGTTGGTCTTCTGCCCTTTGCCATCCGTGCCGTTCCCTCGAGCAGCCAGGCCCCATCCATCCCAGCTTCCCAGGCAGGTGGTCCCGGCAGTGGGGGTATGACTGACCGATCACAGCCACCGAGGAAGCCCTTACCCACACACTCGGTGCTCTCGGCGGCAGGCTGGAAGCCAGTGTTGCAGAGACAGTGGAAGGAGCCATCCGTGTTGATGCAGCGGCCGCCCTGACACCGGTCGGGGCCTGCACACTCGTCCACATCTGGAACAGACATGTGGGTCAGGCCAGCTTCCTCTGGCCCTTAGGAGGCAGCAGGTGGCTCAGGGTGAGTGGGGCGGGCGGCCTGAGAGGCGAGGGCTGTGGTGAGGGGCCCTGGCACTGTTAAGGGGGAAGGAACAACACTTGGAGCTGGGAGGGTGCCTGCTTGCTGTGGACCCCAGGAGGCAGCCTTAGTGGAAACCCCAATTCCTCCTGGAATCCTGGGGACCCCCTCTTAGTCTGCCAAAATTCCCTTCCCCCCAGCACTTTACGTTAGTCTGTCACTGTCACTGTCCTCCCGTTGTTCGTCGATTTGCTTGAGTGGGCCCAGTAACATTGTGAGACTTGTTACTGTGTTTGGCATATCGAACACGTCACGGGTACTTGCCAGTCTTTGCCGTGTGGGCAAGATACTCTCGGTTGCTTGCCAGGCTCTCCGAGAGGGGCAGAGGAATCGAACTTGGGTCGGCCGTGTTGGCCACATGCAAGGCAAACGCCCTACCCACTGTACTATTGCTCCAGCCCTATTTTTTATTTATTTTTTGGGGGGCCACACCCAGTGATGCACAGGGGTTACTCCTGGCTTTGCACTCAGGAATTACTCCTGGAAGTGCTCAGGGGACTATATGGGATGCTGGGAATCGAACCCGGTCGGTCGCATGCAAGGCAAACGCCCTGTGCTCTCCAGCTGTCCTATTACTCTAGCCCCCTTGTTTTTTTTTTTTTTTTTTTTGAGTATACTCTGGTTACTCCTGGCTCTGCACTGAGGAATCACTCCTGGCCTGCTCAGGGGACCCTATGGGGTGCTGGGGATCAAACTTGGGTTGGCCTCCCACTGTCCCATCGCTCTAGCCTGACTTGATATTAGTCCAGACAGAGCCTCCAGCACCCGCTCCTGCTGGCAAGTGTGCCCTGGGCCTAGGGGCTTCTCACCTTGGCAGCGGGTGGCCCCATCCGTGGGGGTGTAGCCGGGGGCACACAGACAGAAGAAGGAGCCCATGCTGTTGAGACACTCGCCCCGGGGCGCACAGTGCTGCTCCCCTGAGCACTCGTCCACATCTGCAGAGAGAGGACAGGCAGGGGCAGTGGCATGGCTGCGGATCCCCACGCTGCCCAGCCCCTGATTCCCTGGAGGGGGTACCCGAGCCGCTCACCCACACACACAGTGCCGTTGGCCAGCTGGAAGCCCTGGGGACACACGCACTGGTAGGAGCCCGCTGTGTTCTTGCACTCGCCACCCTGGCAGCTGCCCGGAAGGGCTTCACACTCGTTCACGTCTGCAGGGCACAGCGGGAGCCACAGGCTGCTGAGTCTGCACCCCTGGCCACGAACCACCCGCAGGGGCCTGGGCCCTTAAAGGGGATGTAGCTGGGAGGAGCAGGGCCACGTGACCACAGCTCTGTGGTCCACCAGGCAGCTCCCTTGGACTCAGTTTCTTCAGCCACACACAATGCCCCTCCTCGACCCCCCGCCGGGGACGCCTGCAGTCCCAGCCCCTGAACCCTCCAGTGTTCTGGTTGAAGTGGCTTGGGTGTTGGGGAGAGGCGGAAAGGGTGACATTGGAAGTACACACAACCCATACAGGGAGGGAATGGTCGGAGGTCGTCCCCCTGGCCTACAGGTGCGGGGCAGACACCCGTGCTCTTTTCATCCCCACTCCAGCTTCACCCGCCCGTTCTGGGCCATTCCAAGGAACCCAGAGGAGCTCCAGCCACCAACTCAGCTCCCAGTTGGGCCCAGGAAGCCGCACAGGTATGGCTCAGTGATTTGATGCTCAGCCCGGCTGAGAAAGCCTACCTCCTCGCAACTAGCCCACCGCCCACCTGAGATGTCCAGAGGTGTCCAGGGGTATCCTGGCCCGAAAGCAGCCCTCCCTGACCCCATCACACCTCTCTCTGCCCTGCACTTACCTTCACACGTGCGGCCCAGGGGGCTTGGCTGGTAGCCTGGGTCACAGGGCTGGCAGGTGAAGGAGCCCACCGTGTTGGTACAGACTCCGTCAGGGCAGACTCCCGGAAAGGCACACTCGTCCAGGTCTGAGGGATCACAGCCAGTCAGGGTGACCCCCAGAGCCACCCCATCGAGGCTGGCAAGACAAAACACCTCACCCCTTCTGCTTCCCCTCCCCACTGTCTGAGCTGATGGACGCCCCCAGCACCCTGGGACGGGCAGGCCCTGGTTAGGAGCCTTCTGTAGGCCCAGAGCTGGCTGACATTCCTGGCTCTACTCGGCCCCTGGCGCCCCTCTTCTGGGACTCCCAGACAGAGGTTCTCCCCGGGGCCCAGGGCTCGGAGGCATATGCTGGTCACTCTCTGGGTGGGAGGTGGTCTGTGGCCCTGGCGTGCCCGTCACCCAGGCCCCGGCTCACCTTGGCAGGCGGTGCCCTCTTCATTCACCCAGTACCCGCTCTCGCAGGCTGAGCAGGTGAAGGAGCCCTCAGTGTTCAGGCAGAGGCCCCCAGGGCACGAAGCCCGGTGGGCGCATTCGTCCACATCTGCAATGGCCATGGGGTCCCGTGAGGGGCTCCGGAGGCAGGGACGGGAGGGGGTGGGGGTCTAGGTGAGAGGTGGGGGTGGTCTTCAGACAGACAGGCCACACGCAGCCCTGGAGGTGGATGGAGGCCCTCTGGGCTCTGCCTACCTCGACAGCCCTTCTGGTCGGAGGTGAGCTCATAGCCTGGCTCGCAGGAGCACCGGAAGGAGCCCTCCAGGTTGGTGCAGCTTCCATGGGTGCAGACCCCGGGGGTCAGACACTCATTCACATCTGAGAGAAGGAAGCCCAGGGAGGGTGACTGGCGGCTTCTCTCTCTCAAGCCCACCCCACGTGGCTTAGATTCTCAAGTGATGGAAGAGGGGGAGTAGCCTGACAGCGCCCCGCGAGGGCCAGGCGCCTATTCCTGCTCCCATCCTACCCTCTCCCCCCATCGCTGCTGCCAGCTCACCTCATGAAGCACCCTGCCTCGGACCCAGAAAAGGGGGCCAAGACCCACCCCAGCTCTGGGGCGGGCTCAGCCCTTCCAAAAACCCCAGCAGTGAGTGAAGGGACCCCCAAAGCGGGGTTCACCCACCAGTGGGTCTACATCTCTCCAACCTCCCTGCTGTCAATCAGACAGGCTGGGGCCCCTGTGCCTGGGAGATGGGTGGGCAGTGCAGCGAGAGTGGCCAGTCCCCGGGGCCTGGGAATTGGCTGCCCTCTTGGGAGCCTCAAAGGAGCTATTCAGAGGCAGCGCCCCCGACACTCGGAAGCACGCACCCTCTTCCTGCAGGGCCTGGGTGGGAGTAGTGGGGTGCGGACAGCCCCCAGGCAGGAGCACCGGCTGCTCAGCTGACCCTTTGACGATGCGTGGGGGGGTGGTCAGGAGAGTACTAGCGACATCCTGGGAGCACGGTGGGTCTGGCTGCCTCTTTTGGGAACACCAGCAACCTCCCACCCATGGCAGGAGGCAGCCACAGAAGCATCTGGCATCTGGGCCAGTAGCTACCAGACAGATACGGCCCAAGGGCCAGGGGGCCGCACCCTCGCTGACTCAGAGGGCAGAGCACTGGTCACCCAAGCACACCCGCCTCAGGCCCAGCCGGACCGTGGAGGACAATGGCCTCCCACAGATGCCCCTCGCCCAGCTCCTGCCCTTCCTGTGTGTGGGCCCCAGGAGGCCCCAGCCCCTTGGCCCGCGGCCCTCACCTACACAGCTCCCGCCCAGGCCCCGGAAGCCCGGCTCACAGGCCAGGCATGCGTAGGAGCCGGGGGAGTTGAGGCATCTCGCATCGGGGCAGGTGCCAGGCTGACGGCATTCGTCGATATCTGAAAAATAACCCAGTCCGTCATGCATGGGGTTGGGGGGGGGGGGAGGGCGGAAGCGGGGGAGGGCAGCCGGGTCCTGACCCTGTCCTCAGCAGGGAAAGATTCTGGACCGACAGGGATGTGGAAACAGTGAGCATTGTCTGGACCTCCCCGCGCCACGTCCCACCCGGTCCCGGCTGGGAGAAGGTTCTGGATGAGCATCAGCTGGAGCAGAAGCTGACTTCCAGGCTGGGCAGGGGCCGGCACCTGCACTCTACCCCCCAAGTGGGGCTTGGGGCTCATCTCTCTCTGCCCAGGGGACTCCTGTCCCTTTACAAGGGTGGCAATGACTGCCATCGAGTACATGAGCCTGTCAGAGCCCCAGAATCAGAGTCAGCCATGGGCAGGGCAGTGAAGGCCAAGCGAGCGTCCTGCACCCTGAAACCAAGACTGAAGCTGGACCCCACAACCCGCCTGAGGCTGATGTTCGGGGGCAGCTGGCAAGGCTCCAGCTGAGAACGACAAGTTGGGGCGGGGTGGGGGGAGCTCTCAGCAGCCCCTGCCGTGAGACCTGGGAGCAGCAGCCAGGAGGGATGGACGGGAGCATGGGAGGAGGGACATGGGAGCACGGGAGGAGGGACATGAGCAGGGGGACCGTGTGCAGCTGGGGCAGGGCTGGGCCCTAGGGGACCATGGTGAAGGCACCGAGCCAAGGTGAGGACCACAGAGAGCTGGAGCAGGATGAGCAGCAGGAAATGGGATGACTGCAGCTTCCTAACACTCAGAGGCACTGTGGCCCTTACAGGCAGATAGAGGACAGAGTTGGCACAGGATGGAGGAGGAGGATGGGGAAGAGGAGGGGGAGAAAGAGGAGGAGGAGGAGGAAGAGGAAGAGGAGGGGGAGGAGAGGAGGAGGAGGAAGAGGAGGAGGAGGGGGAGGAGGGGGAGGGAGAGGAGGAGGAGGAAGGACGGGGCCAAGCGTCAGGACATGCCCCCTCTTCTCCCTGACCTCCCAGGGGCACTGAAGCTCGAGCCAGGCCACAGCCGGGGATGGGCCTGGGTGTGGGGGGCTGAGATCCCATTTCCCCCAGGGGCTGGTCTTGTAGAAGGCAGACCCACAATAGCCTAGGGGCCTGGCGGGCTGGCAAGCCCCAAACTTCACCCTGAGGGTCCAGGAGATGAGACAGGGTGGGTGGTTATCCAGTGGAGTGCCAGCAAGGAGCACCCCAAAACTCCTCAACCCTCTCGGAGGACTGACATCAGCCCTGTCTCTGAGAGATCAGCCAGGAGCCCCCTGGGGTGGTGGAGGCACCAGGCTAAACTCAGAGCCTCTCTGCAGAAAGACGGCAGAATGAAAGGAGCTGCAGGACCCCCCCTTGCAGGAACTCTCTTGGGTGCCTCCCCTCACTCCGGAGAGCATTTGCGAAGGTCAGCGGAGGCCTGAGCAATCCTGCCTCGGGAGATGAAGAGGATGAGGGGCATAGCTGAGGCCAGACCGCAAGGGGAGAGCAGAGAGGGCTGGCAAGGGAGGAGGGACTTGAGTGGGTGTTGGGGGTCTTTCAGTGGGGGTGGGAGGGGACAAAGCTTCGGCTCGCTGGGGCCCTCATGACCCTGATGCAGAGAGCCGTGTCCCCATCACCGGGGTTGGGGGTGCTGGCTCACACCATGCCACCTGGTCTATGCTGGCTTCTTCCCTTAGACCAGCACCCCAGCAAGGCATAAGGGTGCCAACATCCAGAGTGGCCCCTCTGCCCCCCACCCGAGCCAGCTAAGAGTGTGAATGTGCCCCCCTCCCCGTGTGGGGGAAACCATTCCCGAAACCAACCGAAGGAGCTCATCAGGGTTCTAGCCTCTCTGAGCTGCTCCAGTGAGTCACCAGGGACCCCCACATCAGGCCCGCCACCCCTGGGACTGGGGCCGGCACGCCTGCTCAGCTGGTGCTGCTCAGGTGGGTCGGGCAGTTCTGGGCTCTAGCTGTGGGCTGCACTGATCGGCCCTCCAACTTCAACACCAATGTGCTGACCTCTGGGGAGAGGGGGACCACCCGCCTAAGATGGGGTAAGCCGGAGACAGCTGATGGAAACTCCCCTGCTGATCAGAACGAGACCAGGGGACCGACCATCACGCCCGCTTGCATGAGGCCGTGGAAGAGACCCCAGAAGCATCAAGGAACTGTTGCCCCCCACTATATGCTGGGTGCTGTTTGTCCAGGAGCCTCAGGCCAGGCTGCCTGCCCATTTCTCAGAGGGTGAGGTGGGGGCAGGCTCAGTCAGACTCGGAAGCCCGGGTGACCGGAGGGGGGCAGAGGCTTGCCCTGATCCTTACCTTGGCAGTGCCCCCTCCTCACCATGACGTAGCCCTGCTCACACTCGCAGTGGTATGAGCCGTCTGTGTTGACACACTGCCCGCCGCTGCCGCATACCCCAGGCCGCTCACACTCGTCTATGTCTGGGAACACACAGAAAGTTCTGGATGGGGGCTGGAGCAATAGTACCATGGGTAGGGCATTTGCTTTGCACATGGCCAACCCGGCTTCAATCCCAGCATCCCATATGGTCCCCCGAGTACCACCAGGAGTAATTCCTGAGTGCAAAGCCAGGAGTAACCCCTGAGTATTGCCAGGTGTGACCCAAAAAGCAAAAAAAAAAAAAAAAAAAAAAAAAGGAAAGAAAAATTCTAGATGTGGGCTGTGCCTTGCTGGGGGGAGGGGGGGTCCCAGGACAGCCCTTGGGGGCTTGAGCCCAGGGATGCCCCTGCTGCAGCTGTGATTGGGGGGGTGCTGAGCCTGTCCCAGCTCAGGCCCTGCACAGCCCTGGGCTTCTCTCTCTGAGGGGAGGCTACCAGGGAATCCTCAGGGGGCCTCGGGGGCTATCTCCTCATTCAGAGCAAGGGCCAGTCCTGGGTGTGGGTAGTAGTCCAGCTGGCATGGCCTGAGGGGTACGTTCCCTGCTGGCTGGATCCTGCTCCCAGAGGATCCTGTGGTTTCTCTGGGGCCTCCCGACAGGACAGGGGTACAGCACCTGTGAGACAGCTGCCCAGGCAGCTGAAGGGTATGGACGTGTCCCCACCTTTATGCCACCCCTGCTAGTCTCAGCCCAACTGACCACGTGCCTGGTCTGGGGGACCGCCCACCCCCTAGCACGACCATTCTCCCCGACTCCCTGGGACCCCCAGTCTCTCCCCTTCAACCTAATAGCCTTCCCAGGACTGCCTCCGGACCCAGGCTTCAAACAACTGTCCACTCGCCTTTCCCCGGCTGCCTCCTACTATCAGTGCCCCCAGTGCCCAGCCCAGATCCCCCCAGCTGCTGACTGGATGGCTGGAATAACGAGCCTTTGTTTCTGGATTTCTACTTGGGCAGCACTTTCTTTGCGGGGACCATACCGGGGCCATTCCCAGGGGCGTATGGAGCCGGGGCAGGAGCTCAGGGTCTTGGCTTTGCAAACCCTTGTGTGACTCTACCAGAGCCACAGCCTGGCCCAGACGTAGCTCTAAAGCATCAGTGCTCAGAGTTGGCAGAAGCTGTAAAATGCACAGTTCCAGGCCTACACCTGGGGATTCTGACCCACCAGTGCCGGCCAGGCCCTGGAACCCGCATTCTAACAACCCTCCAGCATTTCTGATAAGCTGGGTCCTCACTTTGCCCTGCTCTAGTCCCGGAGGGATGAGAACAGGAGGAGCAGGTCCACGGGACAGCAGGGGAGATCCCGCTGGGTAGGGACTGAGGTCTTTGTAGACCAGATCCTGGGGGGGTGTGGAATGCAGGGGACGTTGGACAAGGGAGAGACACAGCCTTCCTGGCCTCCAGGAGCGACCGTGAGCACTGCAGGGCTGGCCCGGCGAGAACCAGCCCCAAGACTGCAGAGCTGAGCAGGTGCTGTGACCTGATTCGGATCATGACTCCCCAGGCACCAGTTGTGAAGGGCGGCATGCTATCCCCTGGGAACTCAGTCACAAAAATGCAAGCCGAGCACCAGGGGCCATTGGAAAAGTGGGGAGCACAGGCTTTGCATGCAGGGCCCCCAGTTTCATCCCCGGCACAACGTGGTTCCCCCAAGCGCTGCTGGATACACCTCCCTCCCCGCAAGATGCACCAATTTCCTGATGGTCTCAGAGTCATGTGTGAAGCATCTTTGCCCGGGTTCCTGTGCCTTTTGGGGGTGCTTAGAGCCCTCTCAGGTGCTGAGGCCCCATGGCCCCACGCAGGGCATGTCTGTCTGCTGCCCCTGCCGCCAGGGGCCTCCTCAGGGACTAGAAGCAGCTCCGAGCACTGGGAATTTGCAAACCTCATCTGCAGTGTGTCCCGACCCTGCTCCCCTGGGGCAGGCTGGGGGCATCTGTACCCCCTCTGTACTGGGTTTCCTCCTGGTGGCTCAGAGTCCTGGTCATCTTCCCATGGACCCTTTCCCACCCCGGGTGCCCATCCTGGGGCAGGACAGGCTGGACTCACCGTGGCACGTGTGCGCAGCTCCCGCGGGGCCCAGTGTGTAGCCGGGGAAGCAGGAGCAGGAATAGGAGCCCACGCGGTTGATGCAGCGCCCACGTCCCCGACACGGATCCCGCAGACACTCGTTGTCATCTGGCAGAGGGGAGGGACAGGTTCACCAAGGGCAGCCAGATGGGTGGGAGGGAGCGGGGAGGTGAGACTCTCTGAGACTGGGGGTCCATGAGCTGGACTGTGGGCACACCTGCACCTCCACGCTGACCTCCTCCCTCTCCCCAGGGGCCTGAGAGCCATTTCCTGTCTCCTTGGTGGTCACAGTGAATGTTTCTCCCTTGTATGAACATATGGGGGTGGGAATGGTCACAGGGGTCTGCCTGCCTCTTTCCCGCAAGGGTGGCCCCATGAAGACATTTAGGACCAAGATTGTTCTGGTCCACAAGGGAGCGAGCAGTTAGTGTGTGGGGCAGGACAGTTCCAGGATTATTGGTGGCTGTCATCCCCATGAGCTGGGGAGAGGAACACTGGAGTGAGCACCCCTCTCAGGGTACCAGAATCCCACCGGGTGGTGCTCCCAGAGGCAGGTCTGCCCCGATCAGGCTGATGCTGAGACTTTAATTCTTCTGTGTTGCTGTGTTCACACTCAGCGATGCTCAGGGGTTCCTCCTGGCTCTACACTCAGGAATTACTCCCAACAGTGCTTGGGGGACTATATGGGATGCTGGGGATCGAACCTGGGGCCGGTTGCATGCAAGGCCTACCTGCTGTATCATCGCTCGGCCCCTTCCCCCACCCCAGAGCTGTGCCACCTTCTTCCCTGGGCCTCCCCCCACTACCTCCCCTGCAGGGAGTCCCGAGTGGTACCCGTGCAGTAGGCCTGACTAGGGTGCAGCTGGTAGCCGGGGCCGCACAGGCATCTGTAGCCATCGGGGAGGTTCACACAGGTCCCGGGGCCGCAGATGTTGGGGACGCATCTGTCCATGTCTGTGGAGAGGGCATGGCAGGGGTGAGGGTGGTGCAGAGGAGGGCAGGAATTTTTGAAGGGAGTGGGGAGCAGAGGGGCCCACAGACACTTGCCCGGGATAGGGTGCGCAGAAGTCGCCCCATTCCAGAGACCCACAGGGCTGAAGAGATCTCAGCATCACCACGAGGCCTCCTCAAACCTCGACTGACCGCAGCCTGGCTCCCACCACAGTGCCCAGTGCTTCCCTGGCACCACGCTTGCCAGACAGATGGACAGACAGATGTAGTAAGTAGGGGGCATGGGGAGAAGTGGGCTGGTATCCCTGAGCAGGGCCTTGAGTGTGAGTGATTCGGATTATGACTCCCCCCACCCCACCGCCGGGGCACCACTTGGGTAGGACGGCATGCTATCCCCTGGGAACTCAGTCACAAAAATGCAAGCCGCACACCAGGGGGGCGTTGGAAAGGTGGGGAGCACAGGCTTTGCAAGCAGGACCCCGACATGGTCCCCCAAGCACTGCTGGATACACCTCCCTCCCCGCAAGATGCACCAGTTTCCTGATGGTCTCAGAGTCACTGTGAAGCATCTTCGCCCAGGTTCCTGTGCCTTTTGGGGGTGCTCAGAACCCTCTCAGCTGCTGAGGCTCCATGGCCCCACCCAGGGCATGTCTGTCTGCTGCCCCGCTGCCAGGGGCCTCCTCAGGGACTAGAAGCAGCTCAAGCACCGGGAATTTGCAAACCTCATCAGCAGTTCTGTCCCAACCCTGCCCCAGGCAGCCTGGGTGCCTCTGTATTCTCTCCTCTGTACTGGACTTTCTCCTGGTGACTCTGAGTCCTGGTCATCTTCCCATGGACCTGTTTCCACCCCAGAGCAGGACAGGCTGGGAATCCTTCAGTCAGGGGGTCATGCAGAGTAAGGTGTGGGCAGCACTGCCCAGATCCCAGCTGTTGGGCGTGCCTGAGACTCTGGGAGGTGCTCAACAGGAAGGAGGATGGGCTCAGGGATGGGGTTGGAGAGCCAGAACTGCAGATAGGATGCTAGCCTGCATGCAGCTGTCCTGGCTAACTCCCGGGACCCCAAGGGGCAGCCCCGGAGGCCCCCTACCACTGCAGGGGGTTCAGCCAATCCTCAGACTGCAGGGCCTGAGCAATGCTGCATCCTGGGGCCTTGCATTACACTGCCAGCCTGGCTCCTTGGGAATCACTGGGAGGGTTTCCCTAGTACCCCTTCAAACAAAGTGGGCACCGAGCCCTGGCCAGGCCATAGGAGGGACACCCTTCAGCCCATGCAGGGTGCCCCAGTGGTAATGCAGGCCTGGCTTCCCTTGCCCCGGGTCCCACAAGGCACTGGGCGGAGACCCGGTCAGGGCCCGGGCTCGCTCACTGGGAGCCACCATCCGCCCTCAGCCCTGGAGCTGCCCAGAGTGGGGGATATAGGCCCCGAGGTGGTCACACCCCTGAGAACATGGATGCTCCTTCTCCAGGGTCAGCCCTCTCCCCACCCCATCTCACCCCACCCCCATACTCAGTGGATGCAGGGGGCAGCTCCCATCTATAAGGGGTAGCCCCGGATTCCCCAGGAACGGCTCTGAGAGACGCCCTCCCCAAGACACTCCTTCCCCGTCCTCTCCTGTGCAGGACCAGTGCCCCACACAGAGGCCAGGAGGCGACTGGGGGATGGCTGAGAGCCGTCTGGGGAGGAGGGCCTGTGGGGGGCTGTGGCATGTACGTACCTGGGGGGCCCAGGGCCACCGGCACCTCCGTGGGGCTGGGAGCAGGTGCTGGCACTTGCGTCCAGGTCTCTGGACTCCTCTGGGCAGGCAGGGGCTGTGTGGGTCTGCCTCCGGCGTGTTCTGCAGGGGAGAGGGGAGCGGAGAACAGGTGGGTCCTGGCTCCTAGCCCCGTCTCTCCACCCCTGAACAGTGCCTCTTGGGAAGCTGGCCTAGTGTGCCCCTTCTCGCTGGTGGGGGACAAAGAGGGATGCCGGGGCCGGCCACCTCTGCCTGCTGAAATACGGCCCAGCCCTTCTAGGGCATCTTAGCACCTCCCTCCCCCCCCCCCCCCCACACACACACACACACATACACTACGCCGGTCAGGAGCAGAGACCGTGGCTTTCTGGCTGGGCCTCTGTCCAGGGCCAGCCTGTCTGTGGGGCCAGAACCGGTTCCTGGGCCTCTGGGAGCCCACCTTAGACACACACTCTCTCTCTCTCTCTCTCTCTCTCTCTCTCTCTCTCTCTCTCTCTCTCTCTTTCTTTTTGGGTCACACCCGGCGATGCACAGGTGTTAACCCTGGCTCTGTGCTCAGGAATTACTCCTGGTGGTGCTCAGGAGGCCATATGGGCTGTTGGGAATCGAACCTGGGTCGGCCTCCTGTAAGGCAAACGCCCTACCCACTGTGCTATCTCTCCAGCCCCCCACCTTAGCTTCTTCTCCTGCTGGCAAAGCGCTTTATGGTTGACAGAGTTCGGCTTGAACATTAGCGCCTCCTTGCTGGGGGCCCTTAGTGGCTGGGGCCAGCCTTAGTGGCCAGGCTCTGGGAGAGGAAGCTGCAGGCCCAGCTGTGCCTGCCCCTCACCCTCCAGACTCTGCAGAGCCCTGACCACTCTCTGGAGAAGATGGAAGCACTGAGCAGATGCTCTGCATGCACTGTAGGGACCCCCAGGCACTACTGGAGTCAGGAGCAGCCCTGAGCATCACGGGATGTGGCCTCACGTTGTATAAAGACAACCAACATTGGAAGGAAGTGGCACTTACTGGTGAGGAAGTGCTCCCAGGGCCCACAGCACCCCTGGACCAGTGCTCCCACCCTCAGGGTGTGGGGTGGACACAGGCAGGGCCTGTCAGCGTCTTGCTGACCTTTGGTGGCATAAAGGGGACTGAGTTCCCGGGGAAAAAATTGTCACTTGTTTTTCAGGCTCAGCCCCAGCTGATCCGAGCTCTCGGGGGAAACTCCCCCAGCTCCTTCCCCTTCCCGGAGCGCTAGGAGCACAGAGGACTCACCTGGAACCCAGGCAGGGACGTGGGTCACGCTGGTCTCCACCTGAGCGGAAACGGGACAGGGTCACTCTTGTGGCCTCTGTGACCAGGTCCCCCTGCTCTGTGTGTCCGCTCATTCCAGGTGTGCCTGCGTCTGGCTGGGCACTCTGCTGGGCACCTTATGCCCATTGTCTTGACTCATCACTAATCTTCAGACCGTGGGTTTGAATGATCAAATGCCAAATGGGACAGGCCAGCACAGGGCCCTGTCTCACATCTCAGACACGAATCCCACAGAAGCTGTCCCGAGGAGGGGCTGGGGGTGGACACAGACCTTCCCAGGATCACAGGGTCCTTCCTGGAGCCCCTCCCCAGGGTGTTTTGGCAGTGGGTAGGCAGAAGGGAGGGAGAGAGGGAAGAAGGGCGGGCAGAGAAGCACGGCTGAGGGGTGCAGGACACAAGGGGCCACTAAGATCTGAGGATTAGGGGGCTCCTGGTTCTTTGGGGACAGAACAAGTTCAAGAGAGAATCGACCGAGCGGGGGCAGGAACGGAGTTGGAGGGAAGGGCAAGGGCGGGGAGAGGCAGATGGGAGGGAAGGAGCCGATTCAGGATTCTGGATTTTTTTCCAGGACACTGAGCCCTGGGCCCAGGGAAAAGAACACTTCCTGTTCTGGGGTGTGCTCTGAGGTGATTCCCAGGGTTCCTGTCCCGCACAGTCCACCCCCCAGAGAAGATGCTGAGAGTCAAACTGGGCCCAGGCAGAGCTGGAAGAGTCCCTGGTGCCAGTCTGAGAGACAGCCATGAAATCCTCCAGGAACTGGGACACACCCCCACCAGCTCACCCCCTTTCTCCCTCCTGGGACAGTAGCATGGGGTGTAAGAGGCTCCCAGCTCCCATGTCCTGCCACACTGCCCTCAGGCCCTGCTGAGGACTCACCTGGCCAGCCCGAGCACCTCCTGGGAAGGGAAGGGAGATAGTGAGTTTGCGGAACATTCTGCCCGTGACCCTATACCTGCTCCCTTCTACCAGCTTCCGGCTTCCCCTGTAGGGTCATCCTGAGAGCTGGGACACTTCCCCTGCACCTGCTGCTCCTACCCTTCGAGGACGTGCCACTCCGACCCTCCAAGGATGATCACCTGAAATCACCTGCCAGGTGACTCACCTGGACAAGGGAGTCTCCTGTCCCCCCAAGGCTCTGTGACAATGCCCCCATCCCACCAAGACTCCTAGCATCCTTTGTGGCCTCTTCCCTCCCAAAGCTGACTCTCTCATCCCCCGCCCTTCAGGTGTGGGTGTTCTAGCAAGACCCAGGTGCTAATCCAGGGGCTTCGGCTCCATCCTCCCTGCTGAGGTCCATCACGCAGTTCTAGTCCAAATCCACCCTCCTGAGCCCAGCTCCATCCCGCCTCATCCTCTGCCCCCTGCAGGTCTCACTGCCATGCCACCGTCCTGGGCCTGTGGAGGAGCTGCACTTAGTGCATGGTGTGGACTGTCCGCCCCTAAGACCCCAGTGGGGATGATGGGACACCCCTCCCCTCCATCCCTCCATGCCCCATAATCCACCAGTGCATCAAGTCCAACGGCAAATGCCAGCCCAGAGGCTGCATGGGGGAGGGGGGCAGGGGAGAGGGCTCAAAGGGCCGAGCGCAGGCTCTGCAGGAGGGAGCCCCACATTTGAACCCCAACACTGCATGGTCCCCTGAGCACTGTGGGAGTGGCCCAAATTGACCGGGGCCGGGAACGCAAAGGCTGCACATCTGGGCTGGAGGCTGTTGCTGCCCCTGATCCCCCTCCGTGACTCCCTGGACCCCCCCCATGAGAAAGCAAGAGGGTGAAACCCTTTAGCACGCTGAACATGAGCCCAAGCACCCAGGACTGGGGGCTTCTGCTTTTCTCATGCCCCCAGGAGAGAACCAAGGAGTCCAGCCACACCCCCTCTTGGCTCTCCCAATGCTGGAGCCCGAGGGAACCGGTGTCTGCCCAGATAACAAGATACCCAGCCCAGATACCCGCAGCAGAGGTGGTGCCAGCTTCCTGCCATGTGTGGGCACCCCCCTGGAGCGGCTGCCTCTCTGCCGGCCCTGGGCGTGTCCTGTTGCTCTGGTGACTTTGCTCCTGTGAGGGCCTGGCCAGCTCCTCGTCCTCGGCTTTCCTCATGGACAGACGGATGTCCGAGCTGGAGTACGTGTAACCGTGTCCTGCAGGACAGATCTCCCGGAAGGCCTCTGCAAAATCCAGGGGTGCCCACTGGAGAGCTGCTGTCCCTGCAGGAAGCTGGGTGCTCCCTGCTTGTGCCCCCTCTGAGGGCCATGGCAACACAGAGAGGGGAGCCGGGGGCTGGGACCAGGCCAGGGGAGACCCGGGGGGTTCTGAGCCCGAGGGCGGCCCACCAGCCCAGGCTTGCAGGGAGGCAGGCCCCCCCGTGGCCGGTGCTGAGCTGGGGAGCAAAACTCACCTGTGCCGGGCAGGGGGCACTTCTCACAGTTGCTGCCCCAGGCTTTGCCGACACGGCTGCAGCAGCAGATCTGCTTGGTGATCCGCTGGGCCAAAGGCAGGGTACAGGCGTTGGGCCCCAGCCACCGGTAACACAGGCCCTGCTGCATGGAGACCGCCTTGTCCGCTGCAACAGACACCGGGTGGGTCGGGCTGGGGCGGGCAGGGCCAGGCAGGGCCCCAGGAGGGAGCAGAGGCAGGGCTGGGCCTGGTGGGGGGGGGGGGCGGGAAGGCCCCGCCAGGTGCGCTCAGACCTGCCCCGCCCTTGTGCCAGGCCCGAGGCTGGGGGCCCTGGAAATGCTCTGAGGAATGTTAGGGGAAGAATAGCAGCCGAAGGATATCTCAGCACCTCCCACGCTGGCCTTGCCGGGGCGCCTGTGAGACCCAGGGTGGAGTGGGGACCAAGTGCTCATCTCTGTGTCCCCTCCAGCCCAAGGAGGCCCTAGGGGAGAGTGGGGAGCAGAGAGTTCTGGGGGCCATGGTCTCCTTAAGACCCCGGGGCCTCATAGTTGGAAGCTTGCCTCATGAGCAGGGGAGAAGGCAGCTGGGATAGAGAAGGGATCACTAAGTCAATGATGGTTGGAGGGATCCTTTGGGATGGGAGATGTGTGATGAAAGTAGACAAAGGACCAAACGTGACGGCCTCTCAGTATCTGCACTGCAAACCATAATGCCCCAAAGTAGAGAGAGAGTATGGGGGGAATTGTCTGCCATGGAGGCAGGGGGAGGGTTGGGAAGGACGGGGGGATACTGGGGACATTGGTGGTAGAGAATGTGCACTGGTGAAGGGATGGGTGTTCGATCATTGTATGACTGAAACTCAAACATGAAAGCTTTGTATCTAACAGTGATTCAATTAAAAAAAATTTTAAGAATGTCATTGGGCTAGAGCGATAGCACAGCAGTAGGGCGTTTGCCTTGCGTGCAGCCGGCCCGGCTGAGCCGGGTTCAATTCCTCCACCTCTCTCAGAGAGCCTGGCAAGCTACTGAGAGTATCTCGCCCGCACATCAAAGCCTGGCAAGCTACCCGTGATGTATTTTATATGCCAAACACAGTAACAACAAGCCTCATGATGGAGACGTTACTGGGCCCACTCAAGCAAATTGATGACTAACGGGAGGACCGTGACCGTGAAGAAGTGTCATTAATGGCAGGTGAGACATGATTATTACCATAATGCGATCCAAGTATAAAGTAAACTTTAATGTCATATACTTTAGAGTCCAGAGTTGAAAATACATATATGTAAATGAGATTGGACTTTATTTTTTATCTTATATTAAATGGTCCTAATTTTCTTAGTGACATAGGTCAAAATCATATAGAAATTGGCCCTTGCTGATTTATTTTCTGATCATTCTATTTCTCAGTCTTAAAAGTTTTCTTGGAATAAGCAACAGAAAGTAAATTTGTTATGTGCCTAAGCGGGAGGGGTTGGGAGTGGGAGGGAAACTGGGACATTGGTGGAGGGAAGGTCACACTGGTGAGGTTGGAACAATAAGTGCTGGACACAACTGTATATTGAACAACTTTTCAAATCACAGTCTCTTTAATAAATACCAACGAGAGGTCACACAATGACCCCAGCCCTCCGCTGTGCCTCTCTTGTGCTGGACAGTAACGAAGGCTGTTTGCTGGACTCTGCATCTTCATGGAAGATCAGAAGGTACTCCTGATCGGAAGGGAGGAGACCCTCAGAGGGCCAGGTGAGGGGTGGAGGGCTGGGTGCAGAGGGCAGCCCTCAAAGCCGAGGAGCTGACCCAGACAGCTCCCCATCAACCCCAGGACCGCGCTGGGCTCCACCTGCTGCCTCAATAAAATATGGAGGATGGCAACGCCGTGGGCCATGGAGTGCTCTGTGCCCGCCTGCCTGGCACCTATGCCCCCTGCTCTGGCCTAAGCACCTGGTTCCCTGTGAGCTCCACCCCTTCCCCACAATGAGTCCCTGAGATTAAAATGGGGACACCCCACTTCCTGGCTGCAGGGGGCCGGCTCCAACCCCTGGCCACCAGGAGGGGCCGTCAGTGCCCTCTGCTCGACAAGGCGCTCCCTCTAGGTGGCACTGTGACTCCCCAGCCCAGGAGCCCTGCAGCCTCCTGCAGCCCGGGGATGCCCAGAGATGTGGCCCCCTGCTGAGCGGGGAGAGGCTCTCCACCCCCAGGCCCTTAGTTGGGGTTTTGTTCCGCTCCAGTCAGGCCCCAGGAAAGTCCCTCCTGGACATGACGTTGGCTCTACCAGGGCTCTGGGGCGCTGTCCGTCTGGAGCTTTCGCAGTGGGAACAGCTGCTCCCACTGGCGTGCAGGAAAAGGACGTGAATACAGGGGATGCTCAGATGGTTGGGGATGTGCTCGTGACTCAGAGCCGTGGGGACCCGGCAGCAGGGCCCCCAGTGCCAGGAATCCACAAGACCCCTTTTAGGGAAGACCTACGGTTAGGGATGGGGCTGCCGAGAGCAGAGGGCGCTCACACAATCCCTGTGTAGACACAGCAGCGGCAGAGGGGGCAGAAAGGCTCAGAGAAAGAACCCAGGAAGCAGACAAGGAGAGGCCTAACAGGGAGGTGGACGCCGGCTCCTTCTGGCGGGAGGGACCTTCGTGCTCTGGGTGCAGCTGAAGGCTGAGTGGCAGACCCTGGGCCCCGGGTCTGGGGTTCTGGGTCTAGGAGCAAGTGCTCTTCTGGGCTTGGCCTGGGGACCCATAGCTTGCCCCCATCTCTCCCCACCCTCCACCCCCCAGCCTGGCCCCTACCCACACTCACACACACAGCGGCTCCGGGAAGGATCAAGCATGAGGCCTGGCCTGCACGTGCACAGGAAGCTGCCCCTGGTATTCACGCAGTCCGCACCCTTGCACAGTCCCAGCGTGAGGCACTCGTTGATGTCTGCAGGGCAGAGGGAGGTGGGGTGGGGAAAACCACACACATGAGCCTCTACGTGCTCCACCCAGACCTGAGGTGGGCAGGGCACAGTCACCCTCACACTCTCTCTCCAGATCAAAGGATGGCAAAGGGAGCTCAGAGGTCAGGCCCCTCCACCCCCGCACCGCCTGGCATTCCATGTCCCCTTGTTCCCGTTCCCCTCAGCACTGCCAGATGTGGGCCTGGTGGTCCCCGGCAGTACAGAGCCTGAGCATTGAACCACACGGCCTGCTTGGCCAAGAATCAGCAGGAGCAGTCCCCAGTTCTCCCTCCCAACCACGTGAACACAGCTTGGGTCCCCCTGTCCCTCCAGAGAAACAATAATCAGAGAACTGCAATTTACTCGTGCAATTTTCTCCACTGTACTCAGCTCTCCTCCTCCTTTGTCAAACAGGGATGAGGAGAGTCTCGTTCGGAGGACAAAATGACATGAAAATTGCAAACTTGGCCACTTAGAACCTATATTGCAAACCATGACACCCAAAAGGAGAGAGAGAGAGAGAGAGAGAGAGAGAGAGAGAGAGAGAGAGAGAGAGAGTTAAAAGGGAGTTGTCTTCCACAGAGGCAGGGGGTGGGAAGGGGTGGGGGTGGCAGGAGGGATACTGGGAACATTGGTGGTAGAGAATGGGCACTGGTGGAGGGATGGGTACTCATTGTATGACTGAAACTTAATCACAAAAGTTTGTAAGTCTGTGACTGTACCTCACGGTGATTCATTAAAATAAAAAAATTAAAATTAAAAAAATTACAAACTGCCAGATTTACTGGCTGGAAATCATGAGAGTGCTGAGTTCATACTGGCTGGGCTGAAATGATCATACATGGAGGAGACACTTGCCTTGCAAGGCATTGAGTTCAGGGAGCTGGGTTCAATCCCAGGGACCCCGTACGAAATCCTGAGCACTGCCAGGAATGATTCCTGAGCACAACACATATAGCACGAAAACAAAACAAATGAAAAACAAAACTAAACAAATACTGACTGAGTAAGGGACACAGGTGAAGGCCCTCGAATAACTTGCCTAGTCACTTGGGAAGTCAAGAACAGTCTGAAGGCATGTGGGAAGGAGACGTGGTCTCACAGAGGAGTAGATTGGTCACTCCTACTCACAGGCCTTGAGAGACCCCATGTGTTCCTGTGGGACCAGAACTGGGCGACATGGGGAAAAGGCAGGAGCTAGTAGGGTACTCAGAGTTCCTCAAGTCCTCCAGACCCCTGCCTCGGGCCCATCCCAGACATCACCCAGCCCAGCAGCTTCTCATGCTGCTGTTCAGACTGTGCCAGCTTCCTTCTCCATCTCAAAAACGCTTCCTGAGGGAGCCTGAGGGATAGCCCAGTGGGTAGGGCACACGCCTTGCATGTGGCCAACCTGGATTTGATCCCTGGCATCCCATATTTCCCCAGAGCACTAAGGGCAGAGCCGGGAGTAACCCCTGAGCATTGAGGGGTATGGACCAAACCCCACCACCAACCCCCCAAGCCCCCAAATGCTTCCTTCTGGAAATAGCTTCTGGAAAAGAAGCAAATTCTGGCAAAAGGCAGCTGGGTGTCCCATTGAGGATGGCCACAATGATGCCATCCCTGTCCTCAACTTCAGAGGTAGACATAGGAAGTGAAGAGGAACACCCACGCCTTCCTCCTGAGCATCCACACATGGGGGAGAAACTGCACAGGTTCAAGGGTCGAGAGACAGGCCAACTGTCCCTTGGCAAGCTACGCTGCTCGGACAGTCATGCCTGGGGACCATCCTCCGTTCCCACTGCAAGTCCATCTCCACTGTAGCGGGCGTGAAATCCTCACCAGAACAGTTTCTCTCGAGCCTGGGGTGAGTGGGGGGCTTGAATGGGACCCTCGGATGCTTTGTGCCATCCCGTGTGTGGACTCCAGCTCCTGGTTTCTGTTGTCCTCTGCCTGGATGACCCATGTCTCTCTGTAACTGGGCAACTCTCATTTTCACGTCTAGGTAGTGCTGGAAGCCTTCCTCAACCCTGCGGTCTGGGGGACCCCACTTGAGCCTATTTCCATCAATGACACCGCTCCCACTGCACGCCACTTTTCAGGGCCTGCCCTGCCTGCAGCAACCACTGGCTCGCACCGACACGGAGCACCCAAACCTGTATGCGGCTCAGAACAACCTCCTGCATTAGTCTGGAGCGGGAGGGAGAGACGAGAGGAGAGGCAGTGCTTGTGGGTGCATCTCTGAGCTGGCTCTGCTTGGGCAGTGGACAGGGGAACGGGGAGGGCCCTGGGCATTTGCCTTTCAGAGGCTCATCCGAGGGGGGAGCTGAGGGCTCAGTTGAGGTGCTGGGAACAAACTTCCATGCTCCAGATAAGGAAAGTTTCCCGGAGGAGAGGCTGCTGGGGGCCGGTCAGATACAAAGAGCCGGCTGCTCCTCCGTCCAAGGGCAAAATGACCTCTCCTTTCAGCACCTAGTAACTTGGCAATTCACGGTGACTCAATTCAAAGGAATTTTTTTTTAATGACAGATTTTTCTTAGGACCCATAATCTGTCAGGCCTGATGAGCCAGAGACTGTCCTTTGCCAAGTCCGAACCTTTCCTTTCCTTTGTCTTTTACTTTGCTTTTTGGCTTCTTTTGAGGGGGGTGGGGGAGGGGGCAGGAGGCATACCCAGCGATGCTCAGGGATTACTCCTGGCTCTGTACTCAGGGATCAATCCAGGCAGTGCTTAGGGACCATATGGGAAACCAAGGATTGAGCCCAGGTTGGCCGTGTGCAAGGCAAGTGACCAACCCACTGTACCATTTCTCCAGTTCTCTGTCCTTTTCTTTAAGTTTTGTGAGGGGACCATACCCAGCAGTGTTCAGGGAACCATGTGATGCTAAAGATTGAACCCAGAGTTCTTCCATACAAAGCAAGCACTCTGGCCCTTTGAGCCATGTCCCTGGCCCTCAAGCTTTTTTTCTTTCTTTCTTTCTTTCTTTCTTTCTTTCTTTCTTTCTTTCTTTCTTCTTTTTGGGTCATATCCAGCAATGCTCAGGGGTTACTCCTGGCTCTGCACTCAGGAACTACTCCTGGCGGTGCTCGGGGGGACCATATGGGATGCTGGAAATCAAACCCGGGTCGGCCGAATGCAAGGCAAACGCCCCACCGGCTGTGCTATCATTCCAGCTCCTCAAGCTTTCTCTTAACCACAGCCCAGAACTCCTCTCTGGTCTCAGCAGCCACAAGCAGGTGACCCAGCCGCCCTATGGCACCCTCCACTCAGGGGATGCCTATCTAGAATACTTCTTTATTTTTTTTAAAAGACATTTTTTATTGATACAAAGAGAAGAGACCATGGAAATCTGTGGTTCTGGGATTTGACGTTTTTCAAAATATCTTACTTTGATTATCAAGATTTTAGAAGAATGAGACTTCTGCTTGGTCGGAGGGAATTCATATTGAGGTTTCAAGGAAAGCTTTGGTCCCTCCTTAGGATGGAACACTGCATGTCTGCCTGGCATGGGTCTCGTCGACTGTCTTTGTCTCTAGGATCTACACTCTGCCTGGCTTCCCGCCGCCCCCCCCCCCCCCCCAGCGGTCCCCATGATCCTGATCACTTCGCTTTAGTTCTCTGTTTAAATAAACATCTTACATAATTGTTGTGCACTTGTTCGATCGTTGGTACACCATTATTGACCGAACCTTGTCTAGGACACTTCTGGGTCAAGTTCTGGTCTCTCGCACAGTCCTGCCCAGCTCCTGTGGTTCCCCCACACCCCCACCCGCGGCTCCTCTCTCGGGAGACGTGTGCCTACTGCAAGGCCCCTCTCCTAGGCCACTGACACCAGGCCTGCAGCCAACAGTCCCCTCAGTCATTCTGGAGCCCTCAGTCATCCTGGTCTCCCCATGGCCCCTGGGACCCCCAAGAGACAAAGCTGCAGCTAGTCCCACCCTGTTACTCTGTGCCCAGAGTACAGGGGCCTGTGGGCCTGCCCCGTCTGGGGTCACTGAGGCAGGGCTGCTCTGACTCCCGCATGCCTACAGAGTATGCCAGGGGCCTTCTGTGCTGGAGGGTCTCGTCTCCTGCCCTCTGGACACCAGCCCCTGCCCCCCTTGTGACAGAGAGACTTTGGTGGGGAAAGTCCCCAGAGGTACCCCCCAGACTCAGACTAACTTAGTCTCCCATCATGAGGTCAAGTTCTCCTGTGGCCAGGAGAGCAGCCTATGGGATGAGAGGGTGGGGTTGGGCGGGATGGGGGTCTTCAAGACAAGGTCCCTTGCCTAGGTGCAGATGGGAGGAGATGGGGTGCAGGGAACACACTCTGCTCTCAGACCCTTTCCCAGCCCTCTCCATCACTGCACCCCAACTTTGTAGGTCCCTGGGTCCAGCAGCCCCCACACCTCCCTCATACTGGTCTTAGGGGTAGCCAGTGGAGACCACTCAGGTGGCTAAAAGATACCCTTCCTGTTTCAGTAGGGGTGTCCTGCATTAGCCCACCCCCAGCCCCACTTGGCCCCATCCTTACCTTGGCAGTGGGTGAGGTTCAGTCTCTTGTATCCCTGGGGACACTCCAGCAGGCCGTTATCAATCACAGGGGAGGCTGAGGAGATACAGAGAGGTCTCATGAGGGCCCTGGGCTTCCTCTGTCATCCTGACTCAAAGTGGGGTACAGGCTGATGCCCAAGGAGGTAGACAGAGCGGGAATTCTGAAGCCAGGCGGTTCAGCTGCAGGGAAAGAGTCCTACACCGTTCTCGATACTCAAGCACCTGCAGTGCGACTAACCTTTCACAACTGCTGTCAGGGGCCCAGAAGGAAGCCGCAGATGGGGAGCCTCTCGCCCCACTCAGGCTTCCTTGCCTCACTCCACTTTTCCCAATGAGGATCAAGACAGTGAATGACAGGGGCTGGAGCAATAGCACAGCGGGTAGGGCATTTGCCTTCCACGCGGCCGACCCAGGTTCGATACCCAGCATCCCATATGGTCTCCTGAGTACCGCCAGGGGTATTTTCTAAGTGCAGAGCCAGGAGTGACCCCTGTGCATTGCTGGGCGTGACTCAAAAAGCCACACACACACACACACACACACACACACACAGCAAATGACAGAAGCAGGTGAAAGGCAGGGCTCCCCAGGAGGCCAGAACGAACTCATCGGACGGACACGGGATCAGCATGGGCCAGGTGCTCCACCAGATGATACAAAAGCGCGGGGTGGGAGTGGGTGGGCACAGAGCAGAGTGGGGATCACAGGCACTTCAGGAGGGGCTGCTGGCCACTGGCAACTGCTACTCAGGCCTGAGGAAGCCAGGGCCCCACGTGCAGGAGTCAGTTGGGGCCAGCCCAAGTTCCAGGGAGCCTTAATGGCACCAAATGAAGCATGTTGGGCAGATGGGCCTGACCTTCCTGGAGAGAACACCTGGGCCACGTGCACCCCGGGGCTCAGTTTGCAGGCCACTGGCCCTGGCCTGTCCACCCTCGCTGCACCTGTGCACAGCACAGGCCTGATAAGGAAGCCGAGGGGCCTTGCGGGGCCCCGGCCCCTGTACTGCTCACCCCTCTAACTGCTGGGGCTCCCAGAGGCCTCAGCCAGGCTCGGCTAATTGCTTGAGACAGTTCTGGCCCGGATTCCATGCCAGCGCCCAGGGAGACGTGGGGACATGCGTCTCGCCAAGGGGCTGCTTCCAGCCCACACTGATCTCAGCCTGTGATGACAGATGGCTGCAGCAGGGACATGTGGAGGGTCCCCTGCCAGATTTCCCTCTGCCCAAAGCACCCCCCCCCCCACACACACACACACATACACGGGCTGGATGTGAGGCTCCACTCACTGCACAGAGGCATGCTAGCAGGCTGCAGCGGAACCCTCCACGGCTAACTGGACAGCTGCAGAGAAACGTCTGCTCCCTCGGAGAGGCCACGAGGCAAGTACGGGGCACAGGGCAGTCAGACCCATGTCCCATTCCTGGCTCCTCCCTGAATCGCTGGGGGACCTGGGCACAGTTCTCCCTCTTCCGGGCTTCAGTTTGTATCTATCCAAGTGGGGACTGAGACGTAGTTCTGGGCTGAGGTCTATTTCCTGATATAGACCTCAGGCTGAAGCGAGCACAAAGCTGGCACAGCCTGTAGATGCTCCCTAAATCTTCGCTTTCCTCCCTCTTCCTGCTGCCCTCCTTTTCTCCCTCTCTCCTTCCCTCCTTCCTTCCCTCTTTTCTTTTCCTTCTTCTTCCTTCTCCACTTCCTTCTCTCCTCTTTTCATTTCCTCCTTCTTTCTTTACATTTTTCTTTTCCTCGCCCTCCCCTCCCCTCCCCTTCCTTTCCCTCCCCTCCCCACCTCTCCTCTCCTCTCCTCTCCTTCCATCTTTCCAGCAATGTAGTCTCCAGGACAACAAGCCCTCACTGACTGGACAGACTTGGATACGTTCCTCAGTATTGCTGAACCTTGGTTTTCCTGCCAGTAACACGGAGGTGACAATTCCTTGCTCCCTGTGAACACTGAAAAGCATGTGAAACAGCAAATGCTTGTCACATGTTGGCAATGACATCATGACATCATGCCCATCCATGTGGCTTTTCCTCCTGGGGGTGGGGAGGGATCATTGGGCCCCCCCCTTGACCCTAGAAATACATTCAAAGATGAGTGCTGCCTGCTTCTTCGGGGTCAGCTGCGGGTACGTCGCACAGTGAGGGGGGAGGGTCTGGTCAGATCCCAGCATGCGCGCGCGCCCCCCACCCCCCACACACACACACCCTGGAGTTCTGCAGGAGAGAGATGCCTCCTACAGGGCAGGAAAGCGCTAACTTGCTCACAAGCTCTGGGGGGCTCTGGGTACCTTGGAAGGAGCGCTTAGCACACCACCCTAGGCCAGAGTCGCAGCTTCTCCTCAGCCCAGCAGCGGGAACGCTGACAGCTAAACCTGAAGTCGAATCCCCACACAGGCGCCCCGCCCCAGCCCAGCTGTTCCCACGCCAGGCCCCTCTCATTCAGCTAATGACATGCCAAGGACACCAGAAGTGGCTGGGGGGGGGGGGGAAGATTCCAGAATCCAGATGCTGGGGGCTTGGGGCCACCCAATTTCCTCGTCAGTGGAACGGCACTAGGAGCATCCCCTCCTGGGTGAGTGAGGGCACTGGCTAGGCATGCCAGAGATGACAGTGACGGCACCCATGCTGCCATCGTGACGGCCTCTGCTCCCTCACTGAGCGCCCCCATAACCCTCCCCTAGTAAGGCGCAGACACGCAGGTCAAGCCAGACGTGCTTCCTTCTGAAGGGTCACATATGCGTTTCATGAGCATAGCTTCATCCGCATTCCTTTAAAATCCTTCCACCAACCCTCCTGAACCACTCTGGGTGTGGGGATCACTGCTTCCAGCTAGCTCTGGGAACTTCTCGTGCCTGTGACTGCACCATGAGGCTGTGGCTCTCAGCACACTCTTGCTCCTGCGGGATGGAGTTGAACTTTGTTCACCGGAAACCTGTACACACCAGCTCAACTCCTCCAGAACCAAATCAACATCACCTCTCTGTTACTCCCGAGGCCTAAGTGTTTATGGAACCCCAATCTTCTTTTTTGGGGGGATACGCCTGGTGGTGCTAAGAGGTTACTCCTGGTTTGGCACTTGGGGATCACTCCTGGCAGTACTTAGGGGATGACGTTTTGCTGGGGTTGAACTGTGGAGAATGGCAACAGGCACCAGAGCTGATAAGACCTGTCCCTGTATGGTGATCCAGTAGGGAGTGTGTAGGCGCTTCTTACAAACACCAGGAATCTGGTGTTGGGTCTCATCCCCCAAGAATTGTCACCTTGGGGCTGGAGTGATAGTACAGCAGGTAGGGTATTTGCCTTGCACGTAGCCAACCTGGGTTGGATTCCCAGCATCCCATATGGTCCCCTGAGTACCGCAAGGAGTAATTCCTGAGTGCAAAGCCAGGAGTAACCCCTGTGCATTGCCGGATGTGACCCAAAAAGCCAAAAAAAAATTTTTTTTCACCTAACTGCAGCATCTAGCCCTAATTGGGATTGGGCCAGGGCAAAGCATAGTTGGAAAGGTGATCGGCCAGCAATGTTAAACTTTATGTGATTGGACCATCCTCTTAAGCCAAGACCCTCTATAAAATATGTGTGTAGTTGGCAATAAAGTGAGTGGCCATCAGCTGTCTCCCAGAGCGGTTTCTCCGCACACCTGTCATCCTTCACCCCACGTCTGCCCGGACCCGGTACGCAACGTGTCTGGGCATGTTGGGGAAAACTGTTTCCCAACATTGAATCCCGGCCTCCTGGTGGACTTCAGGCACTCCCCAACCACCTTGAGAGGGGTTGTCCTGCACACACAGACTTGTGATATACAGTCCTTGGGGCACCCCCTCCAGCTGTGGGATTCTGCCCTGGCATCTTGATTTCTGCTGTTTTTGTGCAGGTCCAGCCTCTCTAGATTGATCAGGGAGACCCTGGTTGATAGCAAGTCTCAGACATGGTGAGGTTTGCATCCAAACTCCTGTCCTACCTGTGTGCCCTCGGACAAGCTCCTCAGTCTCTCTGAGCTGCATTTTCTTCCTCCGTCAAGCCAAGGTAAAGACCTTGAGCTTGCAGGTAGTCGTGACAATTAGATGAGTGAAAGCAGGCAAGGAGACCAGCATCATGTAAACATTCCGGAACTGGCGGTTGGCCATCAGCGTTTTTTTTTTTTCCAAGATGGAAAGATACAGAATTCCTTGAAGTGCCCAAGCAAGAGAACCTGCTCTCCCTGGAGGGGAGCGGGCAGGGACATAGCAGGAGGGTCAAGATTCTGAAGTGAACTGAGCCCTGTTGGTCAGGTGGAAGGCAAGACAATCTCGGGAAAAAGTGCTGGCACCCAGCAATGCAGGCTGCCAGAGCAGACCCGCCCCAACGCCCCAGCAAAGGGGCCTTGGGGTTGACACAGCCAGTGCCAAGCCAGATGGGGCCACCGCCAACTTTCCAGTCAACCCAGATGTCTGTCTCAGATGAAAACTCCCAAATGTGGCCTCAATCAGAGTGGCCTGGGGAGCGCTCTGGGCTCCCGAGGACCTGGCAGAGGGATCACAGAGGCGCCCCTGGGGGCCCCACCCCACCCTGCATCAGGGAGGAAAGCCAGCAGCACGTGTCCCTCAGAATGAGGGAGAAGGGCTCACGGGCAGCCAGCCTAGGCGGACGCCCCAACTCATCTCCTTGGGAAAGCGGCACAGAGGAATTTTTCTGGAAGAAAAGGGAATTGTCTGTGCCATGTCATTGAGACTTCAAAGCAGCCCTTTTCCATGTCAGAAATAGCAGGCATTCTGCAGGGGCCATCTTCCACCATGGCGCCTCAGAAGCCAAAGGTGACTTAGGGGGAGCCGTAGAATCCCAGGCTGGTGGCTGCAGGCCTTAGTCCCAGCCCTAACCCCCTGATTCTACTGGACAAAAGAATAGGAGCTACCCCCACCTTTTCATTTTTTGTTGTTGCTTTTATTTGGGGGGGGGGTTTGGAGTGATAGCACAGTGGGTAGGGCGTTTGCCTTGCATGTGGCCGACCTGGCCGACCCAGGTTCGATTCCTCCACCCCTCTCGGAGAGCCCAGCAAGCTACCGAGAGTATCTTGCCTGCATGGCAGAGCCTGGCAAGCTACCCATGACGTATTAAATATGCCAAACACAGTAACAACAAAGTCTCATGATGGACACGTTACTGGGCCCGCTCGAGCAAATCGACGAACAACGGGAGGACAGTGACAGTGTCTTTTGGGGAGGGGGGCACACCTGGCAGTGCTCAGGGCTTACTCCTGACAATCTCAAGGGATTACATGCAGTGCCAGGGAATGAACCTGGGTCAGCCCGTGTTAGACAAGTGCCCTCCCTGCTGTATTGATGCTCTGCCCAACCATACCCCCTCCCACTTTTTTTTTTTTTATTGAAAGAGAAATGCAGGCTTATTTTTTTCTTTGCTTTTTGGTTCATACCCGGCAATGCACAGGGGTTACTCCAATCCTGGCTCTGCAATCAGGAATTACTCCTGGAAGTGCTCCTGGAAGTGCTCGGGGGACCATATGGGATGCTGAGAACCAAACCCGGGTTGGCTGCATGCAAGGCAGATGCGCGACCCTCTGTGCTATCACTCCAGCCCTGAGAAATAAAGGCTTTAGAGGGGCAAAATCACCAGGGTTAAGCAGGAAATTTCTGCTTCCTTGCCCACATTCCCAAACCCATCCCAGCAACCCCCCCAGATTTGCACAGTAGCTTGCTTGTCACGCCTCCTTAAAGAAACATCCTCTACCTGGCTGGGCACGTGTGTGTGGAGCAGCGTGTCTGGCAGCCGGTCAACGCAAACAAGGTCCCCCAGCTTCTTGCCCGTCTCTATACAACACCCGCCGGACTTGAATGTGTTTTCCATGTTTACGTTGCCCTGGTCTTTGTTATTTCTTGCTCGGTGTGCTGGAATGCGAGACATTCCAGGGTCTGCGCCCTGGTGCCCAGCTTGCTGAGCTGTGTGGGACGCCAAGCAGGAGGGCGGGGGGAGGTGCCCACCCCTGGCACCGGGAGGGCAGATGCAGCCTCCTTGGGCTGCTCCGCTCTTGCCCATCCCCTTGGCTGGCCTGCCCGAATAATTCTTCAGCCCTTATTCTGGATGTCATCTCCTAAAAGAAGCTCGTCCAGACCCGTTGGAGCCAGGAGCCTCCCCTACCCACAGGGCACATGTGTGCAGCTTGTGTACTGCCCCAGGGGGCTGGTGGCACCCTAGATTGACATCTCACTCAAGACTGTTTTTGAAAACCTTCCTAAAGCGGGTATACCAATGTGGGGCAGGACATCTCAAGAGTTCTGCTCTTGGGGTGCCCACTGTACTTGGGCCTCAGGTCACTGCCCCTCCCCCCCACGCCCCTGTCCCTGATGCTGTCACATGTCTGTGTCCAGCCTGTGCTCTTGGAGATATGGCCCCTCCTCCCTCCCTCGCTCTCCAGTCCTGGCTTGGGGACTGTGCACGGGGGGACTCTTCTGATTTGAGCTTTTTTAGGTCACAGCTGGCCACATGGAGGGACCACTCCCAGCGCTGCGCAGAGGACCATGCGGTGTCCAGGCTCCAGCTGGGGTTCCCACTAGCAGCACACGCTCCTGAGCCAACTCTGGAGCCCACTGGCACCTCCCAGGGCGGCCTCATGCCTGGTCATATTTGTTGACCAAATGGAATGAAGGGTAGGGGTGTGGGTGGGTGGGAAGGGAGTTGGCCAGGCAAGAAGCCTGGTGGGTGATGTCACACTCACTGTGCTTGGGGCAGGGTTTCAGCCCTGCTGGGAGATGGGAGAGATGCTCCCCAGGGGGGCAAGGGTCCCCTGGCTTTTCTGAATGGGTCCTAAGGTCCACTCGCTCAGGGCTGGGTCATCTCACTCACTGTCCACCGAGACCCTCCCTGGCTGGCGTTTCTACCGTCATCTCTTCCCCGAGCAGAGACTAGTGGGCAGTGTGGGGCAGGTACCTGCGGTGTGCTGGCTCCTTGGCCCTTTGTGGCGGCCCCCGTCATCCCACCGCCCCTGGAGTCAGCCCTTCACGCCGCGTTTCCGTTTGGCAAACATGGCCGCCACTCCCAGCTGAGTCTGCAGTTAGGAACCTCCCACCTTTGGGCTCTGGGCCAGGCCCCCCAATGAGCCGACTCAACAAGTGAACTGCTGACAGGCCAGAGAAATCCCTGCCAGGCCCAAGCCCAGGCCCAGCCCTCGAGGGAGGCCGGGAAGGGGAGATGGGCTGGAGGAAGCACAAGCCACCCCCAGGTGCAGGCCTCAGGGGGACGGTGAGGCTGACCAGGGCAGCAGGCTTGGTCCTGGTTCTTGAGCGCTGGGCCGGCCAAAGGCAGCTGCTAAGGGAATGAAGGTGCCTCCCACCACACAGAGCAGGAAGCTGGACTCCCAGACCCCAAGGCGGTGCAGAGTCAGGGGTCTTCTCATTCTAAGAATGGAAGGTGGGGGGCCTGGAGTGACAGCACAGCAGGTAGGGCATTTGACTTGCACATGGCCGACCTGGGTTTGATTCCCAGCATCCCATATGGTCCCCTGAGCATCGCCAGGAGTAATTCCTGAGTGCAAAGCCAGAAGTAAACCCTGTGCATCACCAGGTGTACCCCAAAAAGAAAGAAAAAAAAAAGACTGGAAGGTGGGCTGGAGCAATAGTACAGCAGGTAGAGCATTTGCCTTGCACGCGGCTGACCAGGGTTCGATTCTCAGCATTCCATATAGTCCCCTGAGCACCACCAGGAGTAATTCCTGAGTTCATGAACCAGGAGTAACCCCAAAAAGCCAAAAAAAAAGAAAGAAAGGAAGGTGGAGAACAAGAGGTGATGAGGAGGAGGCCATGAAGGATCTAAGGAGAGAGACTGAGGGACACTGAGTCAGTAGCCAAGGCCCAAGGGAGACAGAGGATATGGAAGGGGACCCAGGATGGGGAGGCAAACCTAAATTCTGAGCTTTTGGGTTTTAGGAACTCTGCCCTGGAAATCAGATGGAGTCAGGAGGCCAGGCTACGTCCAGCAAGGGGCGGAACTGTCCAAACCCTCAGGACCCTCCCTACCAGTTAAAAGTAGTTTCCTGGGCTGAAGTGATAACACAGTGGGTATAGTTTTTGCCTTTTAATAGACACCTGGGTTCGATACCCAGCATCCTATATGGTCCCTGAGTTCCATAAGGAGTGATCCCTGAGCTCAGAGCCAGAAGTAAGCTCAGAGCATCATTGGTATGGTACCCAATTTCCCCCACCCTCACCCCCCCAAAATGACTTCAACAACAGCCCTAAAATTTCACATTCTTGTAAACCACTGATAATGTAGTTTGAGTTGAAACAATTTTATAGCGGGTAGGGCACTTGCCTTGCATGTGGCTGACCCAAGTTCAATCCCTGGCATGCCATATGGTGCCTTGAGCCCTGCCAGGAGAGATTTCTAAGCATCAAGCCAGAAATAAGTTCTGAGAACTGGCTGTGTGTGGCCCAGACACAAAACAAATGGCTCAGTTTTCCCCCCAGGTAGAAGACTGCCCAATTTGCCAGGCTGTCTTCCAGGCCTGCCTCTGAGGCCTTGGTGGGAGCTGAGGGGGCCGACCCCCCTCAATTGGGGAGGTCTGCTCACCCTGTCCACCCTGACGCCCAACACTCACCTGGTCTGGCTGGGCACGGGGTACATGAGGAGACTCCCCAGAAGGCGCCCACACTGCCACAGCAGTCCTCTTGGGTCGTCAGTTCCAGCAGGGGGTTGGCACACTGGAAAAGAGCCCGAGCACACTGGTCACCCACAGGGTCACCCCTCTCGCCTGCCCAGGGCCTCTGCCCCTCACCCCGATCCCCGAAGGATGGGGCCCTCATCACCACCACTGTGGCCACTCAGGTTTCCCAGGGCAGGAGGACGAGCTGGAGCCCCCGAGGTCCCTCTCCCAACTCCTCCAGCCTCTTCATCTTCAGAGAGGCATCAGCAAACACCAAACTGCACCCCCTGAGGAGCCCCTGGGTCTGGCTGAGCCCGTATTCTCGGGTACCCAGGCTCAGACGTTCTCACCTGATGGCCACCCATCCCCCACCTGATGGCCACCCATCCCCCACTGGGGTGCCTCCTAGGGAAGGACGAGGAGGGCCTGCTTTTGCACCCCAACACTCTGGGGTTAACCTGCCTGCACCCCAATAAAGTATGAACACCAAACTGCTCTCCCCACCCCCAAGGGCTCCCTAGGTTCAGGTCCAGGATGCCCCAGGATCTGTGGGGTCCAATGAGGACAGGTGGGACCCCCTATGTCCTCTTGGATGTGCGTGGCCCTGCAGTGGCCAGGGCAGCCCAGAGGGACTAGTGACTGGTGCATGTGCTGGGAAACGGGAGGTCCTGCCTGAGCTTCTGCATCTGGGAAGTGGTGCCACTTACGTTCCGGGGAGCAAAGGCGTGGGCACCCCCCCCCCCCCCCCCACCGGGGCATTCTCTGTCTGGGATCCTGCGGGCTGAGGCAGCACCATGCTCTCACCTGGCCATTCACAGCACTCAGGAAACACCGGCCCAGCGGTCCCCGCGGTCTGGGGACCACCGGGGGTGGTGGCCGGGGGCTGTCTCCCGCCTGGGCCGGGATGTTGTTGCTGTCCCAGGGGCTGTGGCCGGGGCTGGCGGGCGGCCGGGCTGCAGGGCTGGTCTCCACGCTGTTCTCTTCTGGGGCCCGGGCCACCTGGTGGACCTGCACGGAGGCCTCAGGCGGGTGCCGGATATGCACCTTCACCAAGGAGGGATTCACCGAGGCTGCACACAGGGGCTGGACTCAGAGTCGGGCATGGCGCCCCATACTCCTGCCATGTCTCCCCAGAACTCCCCTTCCCTTTCCAAGTCTAGACTCCAAGCCCTGAGCAGGTCCCAAATAAAACAGGTGAACACTCCTCCTTTGTGGCCCCTCTCAGGATCTAAACCACTGCCCGATTCCTCCTCTCCCAGAGCCCGGCCACCCTGAGCTCCAGCCCACCCTCACCCAGAATGCCAGGTCACACCGCCCTCTCCCTCACTTTCCTATCGAGCATCTCCTCCCTCTGTTTTACCAAAGGCCCTGTTAAAAACCAAACTGGAGGCCACCTCCTCCACGCAGGCCTTCCCTCATCTCCACCCACTGGCTAATAGAATCCTTTTTATTTTTGTTATTGTTGTATTTTATTTATTTATTTATTTGCTTTTTGGGTCATACCCAGTGGTGCTCAGGGGTCACTCCTGGCTCTTCACTCAGGACTTACTCAGTGCTTGGGGCACCATATGGGATGCCAGAGATTGAACCTGGGTCAGTTGTGTGCAAGGCAAATGCCCTACCCGCTGTGCTATCGCTCCAGCTCCCCTGTTGTATTTTAATGTTGGTCCCAGGGATGGATCCCAGAGTCTCAAACATGTGAAGCAAGCACCCCACTGCTGAGCTAATCCTCAGCCCCTAGGATTCTGTACTTTTTGGTTCCCTTCCCTTGGCACCCACCAACAGAAGGCAAGAAGAATGAAATGTTTTTCAGTTTTCTCCCTCCCCTCCATCCTTCCCCCATCACCCAGGCTTAGGGACTCCTTGGGGGGAAGATCTGGCCTCAGTCTCCTCTTTTTGTCTCAACTAATACCTGGAGGTTTTAAGGTCGAAAACCAAGATGGAATCCAACAGAGAGGCAATGTTTAGGGAGTAAGATGGAGTCTTGAGGGGGAGGGAGGCGGGACAGGGAGGCTGCCCGGACCCTGGCCCTGTGCACCCCAGCCCCACTCACCTAGCTGGTTGGAGAGAGGCAGTGTGAAGGTGGATTGCCTCAAGGGGCCTCCGAGAGGGCCCCTGTGCTGGGGACCCCTCTCTGGGTTTTCAGCATCTGGCCTCGGTGCAGGCAGGTGGCAGAATTTCCCGGTGGCATTGGAGGGGCACCAGCACTCATCTCTGCCCACACAGCGGCCCCCGCTCAGGCAAGGGATCTGGCAGAAATCTAGGGATGGAGGATAGTAGGAAATGACCACTCTGGACAAGGAGTGAGTGCTGAAAGGAGGTAAAGGAGTGGACATGATATTTCAGTACTTGTATTGCAAACCATAATGGCCAGAAGGAAGCAGGGGAAGGAGAGAGAGAGAGAAAGTAGAGAGAGAGAGGGAAAGACAGAGACAGAGACAGACAGAGAGAGAGACAGAGAAGACAGAGACAGAGAGACAGACAGAGACAGACAGAGAGACAGAGACAGAGATAGACAGAGACATACAGAGAGACAGAGAGAGAGAGACAGAGACAGACATACAGAGAGACAGAGAGAGAAAGGCAGAGACAGACAGACAGAGAGACAGAGAGAGAAAGACAGAGACAGAGACAGAGAGAGACAGAGAGACAGAGAGAGAAATTCCTGCCATAGAGGCTGACTAAGGGGGAGGGTCCCGTGGGAGAGGGAAAATGAGGACATTTGGTGGTGGGAAATATATACTTGTGAAGGGACAGGTGTTGGAACATTGTATGACTGAAACCCAAGCATGAACAACTTTGCAAAAGTGTTATCTTATAGTGATTCAATTTAAAAAAGGTAAGGTAAGGTAAAGGCCCTCCCGTTGATCGTCGATTTGCTCGAGCGGGCCCAGTAACGTCTCCATTGGAGACTTTGTTGTTACTGTGTCTGGCATATCGAATACTCTCGGTAGCTTGCCGGGCTCAATAAAATAATAATAAAAAGATCTTAAATTATCACAAAATATTGAACTATTATCTATAGATGTTAGCTAATATGGGCTAATTATTATCTGTATACCTGTATATTTTGTTGTATACCTTACACAAGTCAAAGGTTAATATGAAGAGAAAAATAAAACAAATCTAGAGTTGGCCTCCAGGTGACTGGCGGTGGAAGACCTGAGCAGCCCCCATCACAGAAGCAACAGGACCCCAAATCTAGAAGACCTGAAAAGCAGGACCCCTCCAGGAGGCCAAAGCAAACAAGGGTAGACCCTCAGCAGCGCTTCCCACCTCCCCTGGCCCCCAGGACCCGGGACTCCAGGGTGGTGGCACCGTCTGCTCTTCATGTCTCTGTGGAGGGAGGCTGGGTACAGATAGGCCAGGTCCCTGTCCCCGAGGTCACCCCGCTAGGCAGTGGCCAGGCTCGGCTCCCAGGCACCCCAGACGGAGAACAGCGAGCGTCTCTTCCCCGAGAGACCCCTCCTCCCCGCAGGCCAAACCGGGAACCATCCGAGGCAGGGACGGACTCACAGATGCGGAAACCAGACTTGGGGTCGTGGCCGTGGCCGCCCTGGCTGTACAGGGTGGTGGTGTCGCCCCGCTCGCAGCTGTTGGAGCAGTGCCCGCGCACGCATGCCAGCTTGCACACCGTGGGCGTGAAGACGATCTTGATCTTCTTGATTCGCTCAGTCAGATTGAGCCCTGCAGAGAGATGGGCTTGGGTCCAGGGAACAGAGCTGAGCGGGCCCAGGGCTGGACCCACCAGGGCCCCCGTGGGGAGAGAACAGGGAGGGGCCGTGACTATAACAAGGCAGAGTTGCCCTGCTGCCAGCCCACCGACTCCAGCTCTCTTCAGCGGGACTTCCTAGGGCTGCGCCATTAGAGACTGCCCCGGTGGGCGGGCGGGGGGAGAGAGCATTTGCCTTGTACACAGCTGATCTGGGTCCCATTCCTGGCACTGCCTGTGGTCCCCTGTGCCCTGGCAGGAGTGATCCCTGAGCACAGTCAGGGTAGCCCAACTGCTACCCACCTCCAAAGAGAAAAAAAATTGTCTTTGGGGAAAGAAGGTTGTTGGGGGGGTCACACTCAGTGGTGCTCAGGGCTTACTCCTGGCTCTGTGTTCTTCTGGCAGGGCTTGGGGGACTACATGGGGTGCTGAGGATTACACCCAGGTCAGTTGTGTGTCAGGTTAGTACTCAACCCGCTATACGACCACTCCACCCCAGAAATTGCCATTAGCACTGTGTCCTATTTCCCAGGTCGGGGAACTGAATGGCAGAGGAAGGAGGCTTGTGTCACCTGCATCAGGGAGCTGGCAGGAGTGACTGCGGGCAGAGAGCAGGACACAGCTTGGACTGGCCAGGGAGGAGCGGGTTCTCTGGGAAGCCTTTTAAGGAGGCAAACAGTGGGAATCCGGGCAGTTCTGGGGTTCCCAGGACAAGGGCAGGGGCTTTATATGGTTGGTAGTAGGGAAGTCACTGAAAAATTCCCACAGGAGATGAAAGAGGAGTGGGGGGCATCATAGTGCCCCATGGAGGGGTGCCATCAGAAGGACCCTGGAGCCTTGCAGTCCAGGCCGCTTGCTTCAACCCAGGTGCTGGCATGGTGCTGGGAAGCAAAGGAGAGGTGTGTGGTTGATGGGGGGAGCCCGGGGAGGGGAGCCCAACACACAGGCGGAGTGAGAAGGTGGGGCGAGAGAAAGTGTGTAAGGGGTCTGGCCCCCAGCTCCCGGCACAGAGGTGGAAGCTCTTACAAGGCCCTAATTCACAGGTATTCAGGGCTTCTCTCTTTCTTTTTTTAAAAAATTTTTATTTATTTATTTATTTATTTTTTAGGGCTTCTCTCTTTCTGACCTTTGCTTTTGACCTCCATCCTCCCTTGGAGGCAGGTTCCCCAAACCCTGACACCTGAGGGTGAGAGTCCTAGGTGTGTCTGTTGTTGCTTTATTTATTTTTTGACTTTGGGGCCACACCTGGCGATGCTTGGGAACTATTCCTGTTCCTGTGCTTGGGGGTCGCTCCTGGTATGCTTGGGGGAACGTGGGGTGCTAGGGTCCCAACATGCATGCAGAGCCGGTCCAGAGACAGGAGTAGGCGCTAAGTAGGAGGCATCCCCGGGATGGAGGTGGGAACGGGAGGGCTGGGGATCACTGCCTACAAATCTGAGGTTTCCTTCTGGACATGTTTAGGATTTTGTGGTGGCAGTGGCAGGAACTCCCTTATGGACTAGAACATTCATTCTAGTGAATGAGCACTTACAAGTGGCTCGTTTGCAGTTGTTCAAACAGAAGAGAAGGAGGGAGGTGAGCTCAGACACGGGTTTGGTGGGGCAGACGTGGGGGGGGGGGGGGGATGCGCTGCTCCCAGCGCAGAGGGTTGGGTGCAATGTGGTGGGGCAGGATTTGAGGAGATGGCTCTGAGTGCGGGAGTACCCAGACACACAGGGATGCCTGGAAGTGTTACCAAGAAGGTGCGGTGGGGGGGAGGGGGAGATCCATGGGGTTGCTGGGCTCATGCCTACCAATCAGCAGGCCAGGCTAGAGATGCTAAGGAGGCCTTGGAAGGGGCAGGGCAGGACATCTGAGGAGGCAGGGCTGGAGGCTGAGGTTAGGGATGGCTCCCCAGGAAGCTGAGGCTGAAGGGGACCACAGAAGGGACAGAGATGGAGCATGGGGGCTGCAGTTTGAACACAGTGCAGGCCCGGCCCCGCTCAGCTGCCTCGAGACCCTCCGCAAAGCAGGCGCTCACACCGGCCTGTTGATTGGCTGCAAGGATGAGTGGCAGGTGACAGCTTCCGGAGCAAAGGTCGGGGGATGAGTCTGGGAGCCCCAGGCCGGGTCTCCTTACCCCAGGGAGACGATGACAATGAGGGGTCCAGGGAGGCTGCGTGCTGGGTGCCATCCCTCTGCTCCTGGCCTGGCCCAGCGGGTAGGGCATTGGAAGTGAGCTGGCTGGCAGCATTGGCCGGATACAGGCGGACGGTCCGGGATAGTCCCACATGCTGCTGGGCAGGGCGAGGCTGGCTGAGCCCACTCAGGGTCCTGTGAAGACAAGTGTGTGTGTGTGGGGGGGGGGGGATGTTCACCTTCCCCAGAGCAGCAGCACTGAGTCCTCCCTCCTCCCCTCCTCAGTCACTTAGCCCCTGCTGCAGGGCTGCAAGCCACTCCCCTCTGTTGAGGTGGGGGGGTGGGGGGGTTGGGGGGGAATGGAGGTGCCAGGGGGAGGGGACTGTGTTTAGTGTGGGGTTGGCAGCAGAAGTACTGGCCCTGTGTGGAACAGCCAGGTGTTTTGCTGGGTTATTTCGGCAGGTAACTTGGCCCCCTGGGGTCCCCTAGGGCACTTTGAAGATGTGAGATGGAGGGGGGGCTCCCTGTCCCCCCCGAGGCTCTTCAATAGTTTAACAATATAACAAAAATATTTAGTGGGGGAAAAAAAAATGATTCATCGCTTTCCATCCCAACAAATCTTTTATGCCTCTCATTCCGAGCACAAATAGGTCCCTGCACTCTTGTTTATAGACCAGGAAGCAGGTCTGTGCCACCAGAGCAAGGATCACAGCCCCAGCGCACTGCCAGAGCGGGCTCCTGCCGCCACAAAGAAAGCATAGGAAAATGCACGAGCTGGGTTTCTGGAAAGGACGTGTGCACCACTGGCGAAAGCACAGAATGAAGCAGGGAGCAGCGCAGGGAAATACCCCCATCCAGGGCTCAGCAGGGAAGAGCCACCAGGCTAAGTTTTTGCTTGTGCAAACAACCCCTGATCAAAATCCCTTCTTAGTCAAAACCACCTTAAACCACATAACGAGATAGGTGACAACACTGGAGAAATAAGCATGATTCATAGCCAGGGCAAAAGACCAATCTGAGTAATCTATAAACAAGTCCTGGAAATGGACAAGACACACTAATGGCCCTAAAAGAAAAAATGCACTTTTTTTTTCTTTGAAAAAAGACAATCCTGGCCCTAGTGGTAGTGTCTCAGATAGGGTGTTTACGCATAGCTGACTTGAGATTGATCCCCAGCATCTCACCTGGTCTCTTGAGCAATGTCAGGAGTAAATCCTGAGCACAGAACCAGGAGCAAATCCTTAGTACCACCAGGTGTGGCTTCATAACTGTCACTGTCACTGTCCTTCCGTTGTTCGTTGATTTCCTCGACTGGGCCCAGTAACGTCTCCATTGTGACAATTGTTACTATGTTTGGCATATCAAATACGTCAAGGGTAGCTTGCCAGGCTTTGCTGTGCAGGCGAGATAATCTCAGTAGCTTGCCAGGCTTTCTGAGAGGGGCGGAGGATTCGAACTCGGGTGGCCATGTTGGCCACTTGCAAGGCAAACTCCTACCCTTTGTGCTATCACTCCAGGCTTCATAACAAGCAAACAAAATTTTAAAATACAATCCAATTTTATGTATTGCTTTTTTATGGGCTATGGAGCACACTGGGGGTGGGGGGATGGTATTCGGGGCTTACTTCTGGCTCTGTGTTCAGGGGTAACTCCTGGCAATGCTCAGAAAATCATATGGAGTGCTGGGAATTGGACCAGAGGCTCCCTAAAAAAGGCCCTAAACCCTGTACTATCTCTCTGGCCCCCACATCTCTTAGACACATAAAAATATACTCGACCTTCCTCATTCTGAGAGATGTGCTGTAGCACTGTATCACTGTCCTCCCGTTGTTCAATTGATTTGCTCGAGCGGGCACCAGTAACGTCTCCATTGTGAGACTTGTTGTTACTGTTTTTGGCATATCGAACACACCACGGGGAGCTTGCCAGGCTCTGCCGTGCAGGCGGGATACTCTCGGTAGCTTGCCGGGCTCTCTGAGAAGGAAAGAGGAATCGAACCCGGTTCGGCTGTGTGCAAGGCAAATGCCCTACCAGAGAGATGTGCTAACAGAAATAATGCTGAGATAGCATTTTTTTAATCCCTTAGATGAACAAAACTCGGGTTGTTTAATCATGGACTAAGTGGTAAGATTGTGTAGAAATTGTCATTTTCAGAAGTTACTGGTAGGAACATGTATTGTCCGTATGGCAACAACCTGGCTATTGCCCTGTCTTTCCCCTTCCCAGGCAGCGGAGTAATCTACTGTGGTAGACACCGCTGTGGCCAGTCGCCCAGGTCCCCTTAGCTGCAGGTAAACAACCCCACCCGCACCTTCCACCCCTTCCACCGGCATCTTCTGAATCCCTCTTGATTGACACAACCAATCGACAGGCTCCTCCCCCATCCGGGCCAGAAAGCCCTGCCCCCACCCCCCGGGGGGTCAACCCCACCTCAAGCTTCCCGGAAAGCTTCACACTTGGCTCTTGCTACCTTTCCATACCACTTGCTTGCTCTCTCGCAGCTCTGCCTTCATAAATCACACACCCCTGTCCTCGCCTCAGCTCTGCCTCTGGGGCACACTTGTAAATGTCCTAAATGATGGATGAACAAGATTGTTCAGAGCAATTCTATTTTGAAATAGCAAACTATTTCGCAAAGTGTCAAAACAACTTAAGTGCCTTTCAGAGGGGACTGGTTACACAAACCAGGGTACGTCCAGGGGATGGAGTCCGATGTCCTCGAGGCAGAAAGAAATCGCTCCTGACAGCCACAGGGAAGACTCCCCTCAAGATGTGCCCCAGAGGAAGAAGCAGCAGCCCACATGGGGCCAGCGACAGGGTTTGCACCGACTGTGACCCACCTAGCAGTGGTATCCTG